AACTGCCCTCACCCACCTGTAAGCTCTTCTGCTCCCTCTGGCAACTACCTCTCCAACCAACCAAAACTTGAGGCACATTACCGCATAGGCACGTTCCTTAACCGCTCGCTCTCCTTGATTCTGCAGGGTGTTTTTGAGAATTCTCAAAAACACCGTGCTTCTTCTGTCATTTCGGTTTAGGATTCTCCTTGAAGCCCCCCCAAAAAAAAAGAAAAAAAAAAAAAAAACTCGGTTTAGGATTCAACGACTGCCGTAAGCCCGTGATATCTACCAAACCCTCAACTGCCTCCCTATCCTCGTTACAGGGACCTTGGGTTCAATGACTTCAGCGGTTCTCTTCCGCCCCGCTTTGGCAACCTCAAGAACCTAAAGAAGCTGTGAGTTAACGCAAGTCAACTGTGAGTCAGCTCAAGTCAACGGTGAGTCAACCGATGTGAGCCAGTTGTAGGTTGCTGACTCAAATAAAATATTTGTTCGAAGTGATTATCACTCTGCATATCCCTCCCCCCCTCTCTCTTCTCCCCTTGTCCCTTCCCCATGCCGACCAATCACTGCAGGGTGCTGTCTCACGGTGGCGATGCTCTGGGCGGCAAACTGCCACCCTCCTTCTCTGCACTCACCAACCTGCGGGACCTGTGAGTGGGACTGTGTGAGTGTGAGTGAGTGAGTGACTGGGTGTGAGAGAGTGAGTGTGACTGGGTGCGAGTGAGTGAGTGAGTGTGACTGGGTGTGAGTGAGTGGGTGTGACTGGGTGTGAGTGTGGGTGTATGATTGTGGCTGTGTGAGTGACTGAAACAGTCCAACCAATGCTTCCCTTGCGCATGAAAAAAAGTATATATGGTTTTGAAATGGCGCAGTAAATGATTCCGAGTTCCCAACCCCCTACCCCCATGGCCGCAGGTACATGAACGACAACGCCTTTGGGGGCAGCATCCCTGCATACATCGGAAGCTTCATCTCCCTTTCCTACCTGTAAGGCCCATGGAGCTCCGTGTCTCTTCTCCACAGTACTTTCCTTGTGCTACGTCAGCCTTGGCATTGCCATGGGTTCATTATCCATGTCATTGTTATTATTGCATTATCTTCAGCCGCCCAAACTTCCCAGCCTCCCTATTTCCCAAACCAACCTTCCTTCTCCCCTCCTCGGCTCCCTCTCTTCCTGCAGTCGACTGAGCAACAACATGTTTTCGGGCAACATTCCGAAGGAGCTCGGGCAGCTGAAGAACCTGCAGTTCCTGTGAGTCAGTCAACGCAGTCAACGCAGTCAGTGTGAGACAACGCAGTCAACGCAGTCAGTGTGAGTCAGCATGGTCAATGCAAGTCAATATCACGAATATGGGACATTCAAGCCTAGCCTATCATCGCTCCGTGCCCCCCCACTCCCATCTCCCCTCCGTCCCTTCCCTGCAGTGGCCTGCGCTACAACTCGCTCTCAGGGTCCATCCCATCCGCCCTCGCCTTGCTCTCCAAACTAACCTACCTGTAAGCTTGCCCCCCCCACTCTCTCCCACCCCCTTCCCTCTCTCCCATCCACCCCCGCCGCTTTCTGTTTGCTCCTCCTCGGCCCTTCTCAGTCACCCGTGTAGGGTTGCCCTCAGCCATGCATCCCATGCTTCCCCCCCTATGCATCCCCCCCTATGCATCCCCCCCTATGCATCCCCCCCTATGCATCCCCCCCTATGCATCCCCCCCTATGCATCCCCCCCTATGCATCCCCCCTATGCATCCCCCCCTATGCATCCCCCCCTATGCATCCCCCCCTATGCATCCCCCCCCGCATGCATCTCCCCCTATGCATCCCCCCCTAGGCATCCCCCCCTAGGCATCCCCCCCCTAAACATCCCCCCCCTATGCGTCCCCTCCTATGCATCCCCAACCTATGCATCCCCCCCCTATCCATCCCCCCCTATGCACTCCCCCCCTATGGGAGCATTCCGGAGCAGCTGACTGGTCTTGTCTGTCTCTTTCCACGAAAAATCTCCCCAATGCCACGTCACTATCCCATGGCCACGTCATGGCAGTTCGCTGAACTACAACAAGCTGAGTGGGAGCATTCCGAAGCAGCTGACCCTCCTGGCCAACCTTCAGAGCATGTGAGCCGGCAAGAACGCGTGAGACAGGCAGGGGGGACGCGGGAGACAGGCAGGGGGAACTCTCCTGGCCAACCTGCAGAGCATGTGAGCCGGCAAGAGCATGTGAGGCAGGGAACACGTGAGACAGGCAGGGGGGGGGGACACACATTTGAGAAATGAAAAACTTTTGTGGAAATGAGAGCACCACTGTGAGCACGTTGTTTCTCCTTTTCGCCCCAGTAGCATCCAGAGCATCTGAGTCTGAGGATTTGAGGATTTGAGGATTTTCAAAAAGGGAAGTCTATTTTTGAGGCGCCTCAAAAATCAATTCCCTTTTTGAAAATCCTCCCTTTGTCCACAGCAGCAGTCAGTCCGTACAATTCATCATTTGTGCCAGTCGCCATGCACCGAAAAAAGTCTCTTTCCTCTGCCTGGATTTATACTTGCATGGGGCGGTCTGACAGGTGTCTTGTGTGTTTTCAGCATCTGTGTTTTCAGCATCTGTGTTTTCACCATGCCTGTTCTTCTGCCTGCCTCAGCAACTTTGAGAGCAACTACCTGTCTGGGACTCTTCCCAGCATCGATCGCCTCAAGCTCCTCACCGACGTGTGAGCATCCATACGTTTTAGTACACGTGTTCAGTTCTAATTTACCAGACTGGGCAGCACCCAATGTCTAGCTCCAACCATGGCGCCACCTGCTGTTGCTATGCCACCTTGGCCCCGTTGACCGTGCCTCCAGAGTACTTCCTTTCCCCCTCAAGCTCCTCACCCATCTGTGGTCATCCATACATTCCAGTACACGTGTTCACTCCTAGTTTTCCAGCCAGAGCAGCACCCAACCATGCCGCTACCTGCTGCTGCCGTGCCACCCTGCCCCCGTGCTGTGCCGCTTTCCCCGTTCACCATGCCCCCCCATACCTCCCTCCCACCACCACCCTCAGCAACTTGTGGTCCAAATATCTGAGCGCGGCACCATCCCGCCGCGCTACTTGGCTCTGCCGTGCCACAGTCTGGAGCGTTGTGCATCTCCCCCTGTTAACCATGCCTCCTGTAAACCCGTCTTCCCCCCCCACTCTCCTTCTCCCCCCCGCCCAAGCAACGTGCGGTCCAACTACCTCAGCGGCACCATCCCCCCACGCTACCTGGCTCTGCCGTACCACGGCCCTCCTTGCAATCCCTCGCCTCTAATATCTCCCCTCTTTCCCCTTCCCTCGCCCCCACTTCACAGCAACGTGCGGTCCAACTATCTGAGCGGCACCATCCCCCCGCGCTACCTGGCTCTGCCGTACCACAGCCTGGCGTCCAACTTCTTCGTGGGGGAGATCTCGTACAAGGCCAAGAACGGGTCCGCCATCTGCCAGTCTGAGTCCGACGTCGATAACAACTGCCTGCGGCTCAAGACGTGCGTGCAAAAGGCTAGAGTCGACTCAGAAGCTGCAATGGTGCGCGTGCATTAAGTTTGAGGCAGATGTGCTTTGCCAGTGGTAGCTCAACCCTACACCTGTTGTCTGTGGGGATCTCTCATAAGGTCTCTTTGAGAGAGATCTCTCCTAAAGGCTTTGCAAGGGAGATCTCTCCTAAAGTCTTTGCAAGAGGGATCTCTCTTAAAGTCTTTGCAAGAGAGATCTCTCCTAAAGACTTTGCGAGAGGGAACTCTCCTAAAGTCTCTTCAAGAGAGATCTCTCCTAAAGTCTTTGCAAGAGTGATCTCTCCTTGCAAGAGGGATCTCTCTTAAAGTCATTGCAAGAGAGATCTCTCCTAAAGCCTTTGCTAGGGAAATCGTTCCTAAAGTACCCCGTCCCTCCTGCCGCCCACTGCATTGCTGCCAACCCACGACTGCAGGTGGGACAAGAAGGCGTGTGGAAAGCGCCCGCCGCAGCGCAGCGCCGACATGTGCTGGACCTTCTGCCGGGCGGCGAGCCGGCTGGGGACGTGCGGGCGGCGCGGCGCGTGTGTGCCGGCGAGCCTGCGGAAGAACGACAGTGCCGTGGCGTACGCTGCCTGCAAGTGCCAGAAGGGCGCTGCTGTCACTGCCGACAACCAGTACTGCGTTAAAGGTGAGATGTAGACACGTGATGAGGAGAGGGTGAGAGTGGGGATGTGCCAATGGCTGAGGTGTGAGCCTGCGGAAGAACGACAGTGCCGTGGCGCATGCTGCCTGCAAGTGCCAGCAGGGCGCTGCTGTCACTGCTGATGATAAAAAATGTGTTAAAGGTGCGATGGGAATGTGGGGCGCTGCTGCCACCGCTGACGATCAGTACTACCTTAAAGGTGCGATAAGAAGGGGTGATAGGGGGCATGTCAAAGGATTGAAGGGCATACAAGGACGACAGTGCCGCGGTGTATGCTGCTTTCAAGCGCCAGAAGGGGGCTGCTGCCACCGCTGACAATAGGTACTGTGTTAAGGTGAGTTAGAGGGTGAAAGGGGTTGACGTCCATGGTGGAGGGGAAGGAAGGGCTGACGATAAGCAGGAAAGTGTGACTGTAACAGTTTGATTGTGTTACAGTGTGACTGTGCCCTGCCCATCACATCACGCACCAGTGATCAAGCCCTTCTGCTTCTGACATCCTTCTCACATCCTTCTCCCTTGCCACCCCCTGCCCTTGCCACCTCTGCCCTTGCCACCCCAGTGACCAAGGTGTTAGTGCGCAAGCCCTGTCCTGCCAACCCCAAGTGTCCTTCCAGCAGCACCTGTGAGCCCAACTTCCTCTCCCCTCTCGGATACCGCTGCGCCTGCCAAAAGGGTTACCGCCCCGTGGCTGAGAACTACTGGACCGTTACAAAGTGTGTGCTCATACAGGTTTAGGCGAGCATATGGTGGACAAGTGTACAGTGTTATAGAGTGCTTTTAGGTGGTGTTAGGCAATCTTGCTAGCTTGGTACAGTTGCTTTATGTTTGAATAAAGCAGATATTAAAAAATCACATCAAACAAGGGTTGTTAGAGCAGCTCAACAGGGACAGCTGTGCAAGGCATCACCACAATAGTTACCAAAGGTATACAAATATCATAACTGGTTCATGATAATCAGCGAGTCAATCAGCCCATCATCACGTGCCCAGAGTTTACTTTCCTCCTCTCAAGCCCATGGCCGCATGAGTCTCATCACAGCAACCCCCCCAGAGCTGCGCCCATTCCCACCGTCAGCAGAGCCAGGGAGCTCCACCCTCCCCCAGATCTTTAGAGTTGACTCGAGAGTCATCTTTTCCACTCTCAACACCCTTCTCCTCTCAAGCCCACGGCCCCATGAGTCTCATCACAGCAACCCCCCCACAGCTACCCCCACCCCACACCCACCGTCACCGGAGACAGGGAGCTCCCCCCCCCCCCAAGTCCTCTTGAGCCGACTCAAGAGTCAACTCTTCCTCCCTCGATCACCCTTCTCCTCTCAAGCCCGTGGCCCCATGAATTTCATCACCGCAACCCCCCCCACAGCCGCGCCCACACCCACTGTCACCAGGGCCAGCGAGCTCCACCCTCCCCCAGCCCCGCCTCCCCCCTGCTCCTGCTCGCGTAACGCCGCCTCAGCCGCAGCGGTTACCACGTCCTTGTCCATGCGGCGATTCTTGGCCACTAGCTCATGCACCTTGTCTGTAGCGCCTGCCAGGTCGCTACTGAGGGAGGCGTTATCTGCCTTGAGCTGGGAGAGCTGGAGGAACATGGACTTGGCTTCAGCCTCCTTGGTGGATGCCAGGCTGATGCGAGTGGGGGAGGGCGGGGAAGGGGGAAAAGGGGGGGTTGGTAGGGGTTGGAAAGGCTGCCAGGTCGCTACCAAGGGAGGTGTAATCTGCCTTAAGCTGGGTGCATTTGAGGAACATGGTCTTGGCTTCCGCCTCCTGGGTCGATGCCAGGCTGGGGGGTGGGGGAGGGAAAGCAGGGGAAAAGGGGGGGTTGGTTGGCCATATGAGGAATCATGAAACGAGGAGCGGGGGAGAATGGTGGCCCGTTCTGGGATGAACGGCAGGGGAAAGCATAAATCTGCCACCACGCCCCCGCTCCCTGACCCCTCAACACCCACACACTCACAGCCAGCCAGCCAGGCACCCATACCCACCACACATGGCGGCACACTCACTCTTCCAGCCTGGCATTTTCCCTTCCGGCACTCGCCAGCTTGCCCTCCACCTCCGCCTTAGCCCGCTCTGCAGATGCCACCTCCCCCAGAAGAGCCTCCACTCTCGCCTCCAGCTGGTCCACCCTGCTCCCCACACCCTCCCCCGCCTCAACCCCAGACGCATCAGACGCAGCCGATGCAGCCAATGCAGCCGATGCAGCAGCCGCACTTGCAGAAGCTTCCAGCTCGCTCCGCAGCTGCTGCTCCTCTGCTGCCTTCTTAAGCTGCTGGGTCGCTGCCTCCAACTCCACCTCGAGTGCCTCCAGCCTCTCCTTCACTGCCTCCAGCTCCTGCCTCACCTCCCTCACCTCCCCCTCCCTCGCCTGCACCTGCTCCTCCTTCTCCTGCAGCGTGGAGTGCGCCTGCGCCAGATCTACCTGCGCCTGGGTGAGGCTCTTCTGCAGCTCCGCCAGGCACGCTGCTGCCTTGGCCGCCACTCTGGTGGCAAGGGGGGAACGGGGGGGAACGGGGGGGAACGGGAAGAAAGAAGGAGGGGAGTGAGTAGCGGGTGTGAACGGCATCACGTGGCACAGGGTTGGCGCACAAGTGGGTCAGACTCTGCTGCAGCTCTTGAGTCGACTCAAAAGTGCACAAGTGGGTCAGGCTCTGCTGCAGCTCTGCCAGGCGCACTGCTGCCGTGGCCGAAACTCTGGTGGCAAAGGGGGAAGGGGGCAGTGGGAGAAGGCAGAAGGGGGCCCAGAGGAACGGGGGCGTGGCACAAGGCCGGGGCAGAAGCGTGCAAGGAAAAGGAAAGGAAAAGGAGGGAGGGGCGGGGGGGTGCATGGAAAGGTTGTGCGACAACCGGAAGCACAGCACGCACAGCACGCACAGCAACCAGCTGGCCGTGGTTTCTCCCCCTGTCATGAGCGCCTCACCTCGTGGCCTGGTCCGACTCGCCCTTCTTCCCCTCCAGCGTTTTCTCCGCCTCCGCTCTGGCCGCTTCTGCCTCTGCCCTGGCCGCTTCAGCTGCTGCTTTTGCCACTTCGGCCTCCGCTCTCGCCGCTTCCGCTGCTGCTTTAGCCGCTTCTGCCTCCGCTTTCGCTGCTTCAGCTGCAGCCAGCTGAGCGCTCAGAGCCCCCAGACGCTGCTCCAACTCTCTCCTGCCCTCATCCGATTCACCATTCTCTCTCTCCCTCGCCGCCTTCACTGCTGCCCACATCTCCCGCTCCGCCGCCCAGCTCTGCTTCTCTGCCGCCCAATTCGCCCTTTCCTCTTCCCAGCTGCTCTTCTCTACCGCCCATTTCTCTCCGTCTGCCGCCCAGCCCTGCTTTTCTTGCTCTAACGTCTGCTGGGAGCGGGTAAGGTCGTCAATCCTGGACGCCATCTCAGTGGAGGACCTGGCGATCGGGGGAAGAAGGAGAGTGCGAGGGGGGAAGAAGGAGAGTGCGAGGGGGGAAGAAGGAGAGTGCGAGGGGGGAAGAAGGAGAGTGCGAGGGGGGAAGAAGGAGAGTGCGAGGGGGGAAGAAGGAGAGTGCGAGGGGGGAAGAAGGAGAGTGCGAGGGGGGAAGAAGGAGAGTGCGAGGGGGGAAGAAGGAGAGTGCGAGGGGGGAAGAAGGAGAGTGCGAGGGGGGAAGAAGGAGAGTGCGAGGGGGGGGAGAGTGGGGGGAGAAGGAGAGTGCGAGGGGGGAAGAAGGAGAGTGCGAGGGGGGAAGAAGGAGAGTGCGAGGGGGGAAGAAGGAGAGTGCGAAGGGGGGGGGAAGAAGGAGAGTGCGAGGGGGGAAGAAGGAGAGTGCGAGGGGGGAAGAAGGAGAGTGCGAGGGGGGAAGAAGGAGAGTGCGAGGGGGGAAGAAGGAGAGTGCGAGGGGGGAAGAAGGAGAGTGCGAGGGGGGAAGAAGGAGAGTGCGAGGGGGAAGAAGGAGAGTGCGAGGGGGGAAGAAGGAGAGTGCGAGGGGGGAAGAAGGAGAGTGCGAGGGGGGAAGAAGGAGAGTGCGAGGGGGAAGAAGGAGAGTGCGAGGGGGGAAGAAGGAGAGTGCGAGGGGGGAAGAAGGAGAGTGCGAGGGGGGAAGAAGGAGAGTGCGAGGGGGGAAGAAGGAGAGTGCGAGGGGGGAAGAAGGAGAGTGCGAGGGGGGAAGAAGGAGAGTGCGAGGGGGGAAGAAGGAGAGTGCGAGGGGGGAAGAAGGAGAGTGCGAGGGGGGAAGAAGGAGAGTGCGAGGGGGGAAGAAGGAGAGTGCGAGGGGGGAAGAAGGAGAGTGCGAGGGGGGAAGAAGGAGAGTGCGAGGGGGGGGAGAGTGCGAGGGGGAAGAAGGAGAGTGCGAGGGGGGAAGAAGGAGAGTGCGAGGGGGGAAGAAGGAGAGTGCGAGGGGGGAAGAAGGAGAGTGCGAGGGGGGAAGAAGGAGAGTGCGAGGGGGAAGAAGGAGAGTGCGAGGGGGGAAGAGAAGGGAGGGAGTGCGAGGGGGGAAGAAGGAGAGTGCGAGGGGGGAAGAAGGAGAGTGCGAGGGGGGAAGAAGGAGAGTGCGAGGGGGGAAGAAGGAGAGTGCGAGGGGGGAAGAAGGAGAGTGCGAGGGGGGAAGAAGGAGAGTGCGAGGGGGGAAGAAGGAGAGTGCGAGGGGGGAAGAAGGAGAGTGCGAGGGGGGAAGAAGGAGAGTGCGAGGGGGGAAGAAGGAGAGTGCGAGGGGGGAAGAAGGAGAGTGCGAGGGGGGAAGAAGGAGAGTGCGAGGGGGGAAGAAGGAGAGTGCGAGGGGGGAAGAAGGAGAGTGCGAGGGGGGAAGAAGGAGAGTGCGAGGGGGGAAGAAGGAGAGTGCGAGGGGGGAAGAAGGAGAGTGCGAGGGGGGAAGAAGGAGAGTGCGAGGGGGGAAGAAGGAGAGTGCGAGGGGGGAAGAAGGAGAGTGCGAGGGGGGGGGGGGAAAGAAGGAGAGTGCGAGGGGGGAAGAAGGAGAGTGCGAGGGGGGAAGAAGGAGAGTGCGAGGGGGGAAGAAGGAGAGTGCGAGGGGGGAAGAAGGAGAGTGCGAGGGGGGAAGAAGGAGAGTGCGAGGGGGGAAGAAGGAGAGTGCGAGGGGGGAAGAAGGAGAGTGCGAGGGGAGAAGGAGAGTGCGGGGGAAGAAGGAGAGTGCGAGGGGGGAAGAAGGAGAGTGCGAGGGGGGAAGAAGGAGAGTGCGAGGGGGGAAGAAGGAGAGTGCGAGGGGGGAAGAAGGAGAGTGCGAGGGGGAAGAAGGAGAGTGCGAGGGGGGAAGAAGGAGAGTGCGAGGGGGGAAGAAGGAGAGTGCGAGGGGGGGAAGAAGGAGAGTGCGAGGGGGGAAGAAGGAGAGTGCGAGGGGGGAAGAAGGAGAGTGCGAGGGGGAGAAGGAGAGTGCGAGGGGGGAAGAAGGAGAGTGCGAGGGGGGAAGAAGGAGAGTGCGAGGGGGAAGAAGGAGAGTGCGAGGGGGGAAGAAGGAGAGTGCGAGGGGGGAAGAAGGAGAGTGCGAGGGGGAAGAAGGAGAGTGCGAGGGGGGAAGAAGGAGAGTGCGAGGGGGGAAGAAGGAGAGTGCGAGGGGGGAAGAAGGAGAGTGCGAGGGGGAAGAAGGAGAGTGCGAGGGGGGAAGAAGGAGAGTGCGAGGGGGGAAGAAGGAGAGTGCGAGGGGGAAGAAGGAGAGTGCGAGGGGGGAAGAAGGAGAGTGCGAGGGGGGAAGAAGGAGAGTGCGAGGGGGGAAGAAGGAGAGTGCGAGGGGGGAAGAAGGAGGTGCGAGGGGGAAGAAGGAGAGTGCGAGGGGGGAAGAAGGAGAGTGCGAGGGGGGAAGAAGGAGAGTGCGAGGGGGAAGAAGGAGAGTGCGAGGGGGGAAGAAGGAGAGTGCGAGGGGGAAGAAGGAGAGTGCGAGGGGGAAGAAGGAGAGTGCGAGGGGGGAAGAAGGAGAGTGCGAGGGGGAAGAAGGAGAGTGCGAGGGGGGAAGAAGGAGAGTGCGAGGGGGAAGAAGGAGAGTGCGAGGGGGAGAGGAGAGTGCGAGGGGGGAAGAAGGAGAGTGCGAGGGGGGAAGAAGGAGAGTGCGAGGGGGAAGAAGGAGAGTGCGAGGGGGGAAGAAGGAGAGTGCGAGGGGGGAAGAAGGAGAGTGCGAGGGGGAAGAAGGAGAGTGCGAGGGGGGAAGAAGGAGAGTGCGAGGGGGGAAGAAGGAGAGTGCGAGGGGGGAAGAAGGAGAGTGCGAGGGGGGAAGAAGGAGAGTGGCGAGGGGGGAAGAAGGAGAGTGCGAGGGGGGAAGAAGGAGAGTGCGAGGGGGGAAGAAGGAGAGTGCGAGGGGGGAAGAAGGAGAGTGCGAGGGGGGAAGAAGGAGAGTGCGAGGGGGAAGAAGGAGAGTGCGAGGGGGAAGAAGGAGAGTGCGAGGGGGGAAGAAGGAGAGTGCGAGGGGGGAAGAAGGAGAGTGCGAGGGGGGAAGAAGGAGAGTGCGAGGGGGGAAGAAGGAGAGTGCGAGGGGGGAAGAAGGAGAGTGCGAGGGGGGAAGAAGGAGAGTGCGAGGGGGGAAGAAGGAGAGTGCGAGGGGGGAAGAAGGAGAGTGCGAGGGGGGAAGAAGGAGAGTGCGAGGGGGAAGAAGGAGAGTGCGAGGGGGGAAGAAGGAGAGTGCGAGGGGGGAAGAAGGAGAGTGCGAGGGGGGAAGAAGGAGAGTGCGAGGGGGGAAGAAGGAGAGTGCGAGGGGGAAGAAGGAGAGTGCGAGGGGGGAAGAAGGAGAGTGCGAGGGGGGAAGAAGGAGAGTGCGAGGGGGAAGGAGAGGCGGGGGGAAGAAGGAGAGTGCGAGGGGGGAAGAAGGAGAGTGCGAGGGGGGAAGAAGGAGAGTGCGAGGGGGGAAGAAGGAGAGTGCGAGGGGGGAAGAAGGAGAGTGCGAGGGGGGAAGAAGGAGAGTGCGAGGGGGGAAGAAGGAGAGTGCGAGGGGGGAAGAAGGAGAGTGCGAGGGGGGAAGAAGGAGAGTGCGAGGGGGGAAGAAGGAGAGTGCGAGGGGGGAAGAAGGAGAGTGCGAGGGGGGAAGAAGGAGAGTGCGAGGGGGAAGAAGGAGAGTGCGAGGGGGAAGAAGGAGAGTGCGAGGGGGGAAGAAGGAGAGTGCGAGGGGGAAGAAGGAGAGTGCGAGGGGGGAAGAAGGAGAGTGCGAGGGGGGAAGAAGGAGAGTGCGAGGGGGGAAGAAGGAGAGTGCGAGGGGGGAAGAAGGAGAGTGCGAGGGGGGAAGAAGGAGAGTGCGAGGGGGAAGAAGGAGAGTGCGAGGGGGGAAGGAAAGAAGGAGAGTGCGAGGGGGAAGAAGGAGAGTGCGAGGGGGGAAGAAGGAGAGTGCGAGGGGGGAAGAAGGAGAGTGCGAGGGGGGAAGAAGGAGAGTGCGAGGGGGAGAAGGAGAGTGCGAGGGGGGAAGAAGGAGAGTGCGAGGGGGGAAGAAGGAGAGTGCGAGGGGGGAAGAAGGAGAGTGCGAGGGGGGAAGAAGGAGAGTGCGAGGGGGGAAGAAGGAGAGTGCGAGGGGGGAAGAAGGAGAGTGCGAGGGGGGAAGAAGGAGAGTGCGAGGGGGAAGAAGGAGAGTGCGAGGGGGGAAGAAGGAGAGTGCGAGGGGGGAAGAAGGAGAGTGCGAGGGGGGAAGAAGGAGAGTGCGAGGGGGAAGAAGGAGAGTGCGAGGGGGGAAGAAGGAGAGTGCGAGGGGGAAGAAGGAGAGTGCGAGGGGGGAAGAAGGAGAGTGCGAGGGGGGAAGAAGGAGAGTGCGAGGGGGAAGAAGGAGAGTGCGAGGGGGGAAGAAGGAGAGTGCGAGGGGGGAAGAAGGAGAGTGCGAGGGGGGAAGAAGGAGAGTGCGAGGGGGGAAGAAGGAGAGTGCGAGGGGGGAAGAAGGAGAGTGCGAGGGGGGAAGAAGGAGAGTGCGAGGGGGGAAGAAGGAGAGTGCGAGGGGGGAAGAAGGAGAGTGCGAGGGGGGAAGAAGGAGAGTGCGAGGGGGGAAGAAGGAGAGTGCGAGGGGGGAAGAAGGAGAGTGCGAGGGGGAAGAAGGAGAGTGCGAGGGGGGAAGAAGGAGAGTGCGAGGGGGGAAGAAGGAGAGTGCGAGGGGGGGGAGGGGGGGAAGAAGGAGAGTGCGAGGGGGGAAGAAGGAGAGTGCGAGGGGGGAAGAAGGAGAGTGCGAGGGGGAAGAAGGAGAGTGCGAGGGGGGAAGAAGGAGAGTGCGAGGGGGGAAGAAGGAGAGTGCGAGGGGGGAAGAAGGAGAGTGCGAGGGGGAAGAAGGAGAGTGCGAGGGGGGAAGAAGGAGAGTGCGAGGGGGGAAGAAGGAGAGTGCGAGGGGGAAGAAGGAGATGCGAGGGGGGAAGAAGGAGAGTGCGAGGGGGGAAGAAGGAGAGTGCGAGGGGGGAAGAAGGAGAGTGCGAGGGGGAAGAAGGAGAGTGCGAGGGGGGAAGAAGGAGAGTGCGAGGGGGGAAGAAGGAGAGTGCGAGGGGGGGAAGGAAGGAAGTGCGAGGGGGAAGAAAGCGAGAAAGTGCGAGGGGGGAAGAAGGAGAGTGCGAGGGGGGAAGGAAGGAGAGTGCGAGGGGGGAAGAAGGAGAGTGCGAGGGGGGAAGAAGGAGAGTGCGAGGGGGGAAGAAGGAGAGTGCGAGGGGGGAAGAAGGAGAGTGCGAGGGGGGAAGAAGGAGAGTGCGAGGGGGGAAGAAGGAGAGTGCGAGGGGGGAAGAAGGAGAGTGCGAGGGGGGAAGAAGGAGAGTGCGAGGGGGGAAGAAGGAGAGTGCGAGGGGGGAAGAAGGAGAGTGCGAGGGGGGAAGAAGGAAGTGCGAGGGGGAAGAAGGAGAGTGCGGGGGGGAAGAAGGAGAGTGCGAGGGGGAAGAAGGAGAGTGCGAGGGGGGAAGAAGGAGAGTGCGAGGGGGGAAGAAGGAGAGTGCGAGGGGGGAAGAAGGAGAGTGCGAGGGGGGAAGAAGGAGAGTGCGAGGGGGGAAGAAGGAGAGTGCGAGGGGGGAAGAAGGAGAGTGCGAGGGGGAAGAAGGAGAGTGCGAGGGGGGAAGAAGAGAGTGCGAGGGGGGAAGAAGGAGAGTGCGAGGGGGGAAGAAGGAGAGTGCGAGGGGGGAAGAAGGAGAGTGCGAGGGGGGAAGAAGGAGAGTGCGAGGGGGGAAGAAGGAGAGTGCGAGGGGGGAAGAAGGAGAGTGCGAGGGGGGAAGAAGGAGAGTGCGAGGGGGGAAGAAGGAGAGTGCGAGGGGGGAAGAAGGAGAGTGCGAGGGGGGAAGAAGGAGAGTGCGAGGGGGGAAGAAGGAGAGTGCGAGGGGGGAAGAAGGAGAGTGCGAGGGGGGAAGAAGGAGAGTGCGAGGGGGGAAGAAGGAGAGTGCGAGGGGGAAGAAGGAGAGTGCGAGGGGGAAGAAGGAGAGTGCGAGGGGGGAAGAAGGAGAGTGCGAGGGGGGAAGAAGGAGAGTGCGAGGGGGGAAGAAGGAGAGTGCGAGGGGGGAAGAAGGAGAGTGCGAGGGGGAAGAAGGAGAGTGCGAGGGGGGAAGAAGGAGAGTGCGAGGGGGGAAGAAGGAGAGTGCGAGGGGAAGAGGGAGGCGAGGGGGAAGAAGGAAGTGCGAGGGGGGAAGAAGAGGAGAGTGCGAGGGGGAAGAAGGAGAGTGCGAGGGGGGAAGAAGGAGAGTGCGAGGGGGGAAGAAGGAGAGTGCGAGGGGAAGAAGGAGGTGGGGGAAGAAGGAGAGTGCGAGGGGGGGAAGAAGGAGAGTGCGAGGGGGGAAGAAGGAGAGTGCGAGGGGGGAAGAAGGAGAGTGCGAGGGGGGAAGAAGGAGAGTGCGAGGGGGGAAGAAGAGAGTGCGAGGGGGGAAGAAGGAGAGTGCGAGGGGGGAAGAAGGAGAGTGCGAGGGGGGAAGAAGGAGAGTGCGAGGGGGGAAGAAGGAGAGTGCGAGGGGGGAAGAAGGAGAGTGCGAGGGGGGAAGAAGGAGAGTGCGAGGGGGAAGAAGGAGAGTGCGAGGGGGGAAGAAGGAGAGTGCGAGGGGGAAGAAGGAGAGTGCGAGGGGGGAAGAAGGAGAGTGCGAGGGGGGGAAGGAGAGTGCGGGGGGGAAGAAGGAGAGTGCGAGGGGGAAGAAGGAGAGTGCGAGGGGGGAAGAAGGAGAGTGCGAGGGGAAGAAGGAGAGTGCGAGGGGGGAAGAAGGAGAGTGCGAGGGGGGAAGAAGGAGAGTGCGAGGGGGGAAGAAGGAGAGTGCGAGGGGGGAAGAAGGAGAGTGCGAGGGGGAAGAAGGAGAGTGCGAGGGGGGAAGAAGGAGAGTGCGAGGGGGGAAGAAGGAGAGTGCGAGGGGGGAAGAAGGAGAGTGCGAGGGGGGAAGAAGGAGAGTGCGAGGGGGAAGAAGGAGAGTGCGAGGGGGGAAGAAGGAGAGTGCGAGGGGGGAAGAAGGAGAGTGCGAGGGGGGAAGAAGGAGAGTGCGAGGGGGGAAGAAGGAAGTGCGAGGGGGGAAGAAGGAGAGTGCGAGGGGGGAAGAAGGAGAGTGGAGGGGGGAAGAAGGAGAGTGCGAGGGGGAAGAAGGAGAGTGCGAGGGGGGAAGAAGGAGAGTGCGAGGGGGGAAGAAGGAGAGTGCGAGGGGGGAAGAAGGAGAGTGCGAGGGGGGAAGAAGGAGAGTGCGAGGGGGGAAGAAGGAGAGTGCGAGGGGGGGAAGAAGGGAGAGTGCGAGGGGGGAAGAAGGAGAGTGCGAGGGGGGAAGAAAAGGAGAGTGCGAGGGGGGAAGAAGGAGAGTGCGAGGGGGGAAGAAGGAGAGTGCGAGGGGGGAAGAAGGAGAGTGCGAGGGGGGAAGAAGGAGAGTGGAGGGGGGGAAGAAGGAGAGTGCGAGGGGGGAAGAAGGAGAGTGCGAGGGGGGGGGGGGGGGGGAAGAAGGAGAGTGCGAGGGGGGAAGAAGGAGAGTGCGAGGGGGGAAGAAGGAGAGTGCGAGGGGGGAAAGAAGGAGAGTGCGAGGGGGGAAGAAGGAGAGTGGAGGGGGGGAAGAAGGAGAGTGCGAGGGGGGAAGAAGGAGAGTGCGAGGGGGGAAGAAGGAGAGTGCGAGGGGGGAAGAAGGAGAGTGCGAGGGGGGAAGAAGGAGAGTGCGAGGGGGGAAGAAGGAGAGTGCGAGGGGGGAAGAAGGAGAGTGCGAGGGGGGAAGAAGGAGAGTGCGAGGGGGAAGAAGGAGAGTGCGAGGGGGGGAAGAAGGAGAGTGCGAGGGGGGAAGAAGGAGAGTGCGAGGGGGGAAGAAGGAGAGTGCGAGGGGGGAAGAAGGAGAGTGCGAGGGGGGAAGAAGGAGAGTGCGAGGGGGAAGAAGGAGAGTGCGAGGGGGGAAGAAGGAGAGTGCGAGGGGGGAAGAAGGAGAGTGCGAGGGGGAAGAAGGAGAGTGCGAGGGGGGAAGAAGGAGAGTGCGAGGGGGAAGAAGGAGAGTGCGAGGGGGGAAGAAGGAGAGTGCGAGGGGGGAAGAAGGAGAGTGCGAGGGGGGAAGAAGGAGAGTGCGAGGGGGGAAGAAGGAGAGTGCGAGGGGGGAAGAAGGAGAGTGCGAGGGGGGAAGAAGGAGAGTGCGAGGGGGAAGAAGGAGAGTGCGAGGGGGGAAGAAGGAGAGTGCGAGGGGGGAAGAAGGAGAGTGCGAGGGGGAAGAAGGAGAGTGCGAGGGGGGAAGAAGGAGAGTGCGAGGGGGGAAGAAGGAGAGTGCGAGGGGGAAGAAGGAGAGTGCGAGGGGGGAAGAAGGAGAGTGCGAGGGGGGAAGAAGGAGAGTGCGAGGGGGGAAGAAGGAGAGTGCGAGGGGGGAAGAAGGAGAGTGCGAGGGGGGAAGAAGGAGAGTGCGAGGGGGGAAGAAGGAGAGTGCGAGGGGGGAAGAAGGAGAGTGCGAGGGGGGAAGAAGGAGAGTGCGAGGGGGGAAGAAGGAGAGTGCGAGGGGGGGAAGAAGGAGAGTGCGAGGGGGGAAGAAGGAGAGTGCGAGGGGGGGAAGAAGGAGAGTGCGAGGGGGGAAGAAGGAGAGTGCGAGGGGGGAAGAAGGAGAGTGCGAGGGGGGAAGAAGGAGAGTGCGAGGGGGGAAGAAGGAGAGTGCGAGGGGGGAAGAAGGAGAGTGCGAGGGGGAAGAAGGAGAGTGCGAGGGGGGAAGAAGGAGAGTGCGAGGGGGGAAGAAGGAGAGTGCGAGGGGGGGGAGGGAGGGGAAGAAGGAGAGTGCGAGGGGGGAAGAAGGAGAGTGCGAGGGGGGAAGAAGGAGAGTGCGAGGGGGGAAGAAGGAGAGTGCGAGGGGGGGAAAGAAGGAGAGTGCGAGGGGGGAAGAAGGAGAGTGCGAGGGGGGAAGAAGGAGAGTGCGAGGGGGGAAGAAGGAGAGTGCGAGGGGGGAAGAAGGAGAGTGCGAGGGGGGAAGAAGGAGAGTGCGAGGGGGGAAGAAGGAGAGTGCGAGGGGGGAAGAAGGAGAGTGCGAGGGGGGAAGAAGGAGAGTGCGAGGGGGGAAGAAGGAGAGTGCGAGGGGGAAGAAGGAGAGTGCGAGGGGGGAAGAAGGAGAGTGCGAGGGGGGAAGAAGGAGAGTGCGAGGGGGGAAGAAGGAGAGTGCGAGGGGGGAAGAAGGAGAGTGCGAGGGGGGAAGAAGGAGAGTGCGAGGGGGGAAGAAGGAGAGTGCGAGGGGGGAAGAAGGAGAGTGCGAGGGGGGAAGAAGGAGAGTGCGAGGGGGGAAGAAGGAGAGTGCGAGGGGGGAAGAAGGAGAGTGCGAGGGGGGAAGAGGGAGATGCACGAGTCACGAATGAATGAGTGAAACATGCGCAGAAGGAGAAGCACCTATTTCATCTGCAAGAAACGCGGCAAACCCCTGAACCCTCCGACCATCGGAATAGGCCCAGGAATGAACCACTAGCTCGCACTCACCTCAACAGGTCGGATACTTTCTCCTTGGCTTCCGCGCACTCCTTGATCGCCGCATCGCGAGACGCCTCCAGAGCCTCCTTCTCTGTGTTCAGCGCCCCCACCACCTCCTCACTCGCCCGCGCCTTCTCACTCATCTCGCTTCTTACTGCTTCTATCTCCGTCTTCAGCGCCCCCACCTCCTCATTATGAGCCCTCGCCTTTTCACTCATCTCGCTCCTTACAGCTTCTATCTCTTTCATCGCGTTCTCAATCTCTCCCCCCAGCTTCCCCGCCTCCGCTTCTTTCCCCGCAAACTCCCCCTTCAGCCGCGCGATTTCCCCCTCCGCCGCCGCCACCAGCTCCGCCAGCCGTGCGCGTTCCGCCTTCCCCGCAGCCTCTGCCTCTTCCGCCTGCGACTTCTTCTCCGCGGCCGCCGCCAGGTCCTTCTCCAGCGCGTTCTTCGCCTGCTGCACGCTTTTCCGCGCGACCTCCGATCCGCGCTTCCCCTCCTCTAACTCCCGGCACCGCTGCGCCATCTCCTCCAGCTGCCGCCTCAGCCTCTCCGCCTCCACCTGCGCGCCGAACCCGCCGCTTCCGCCTCCACCGCCGCCGCCTCCGCCTCCGCTGCTGCCGTTCGCCATCGGCGATTCGAGCGGGAATTTGCTGGAAGCTTCTTCGAAGGTGGGCGTGCGGTTACCATCATGCGGCGTTCGCGAGCCGTCGCTGAAGTGCTCCGGCGGCTCGACGAATTCGTCGGCGTCGTGAGAGTCGCAGGAATCGCGACTCGCGGTGGCGCGGAAAGGCGAGGTCACGCTGATCGGCGGAAGATCGTCCGCGGACGGTGCGGCTGCGGCTGGTTGTGCCGATGGCGGATCGGCTGCGCTTGTCTTGGCGGGAGGAGCGTTGGCGGACTGAGCGGCGGAAGTTGCGGCGGGAGCTGAGGAGGTGTTAGATGGGCTGGGCGCTGCAGCAGCAGCGGGGGTCTGCTGACGGCCCTTCTGATTCTTCTTTCGACCCATGCGTTCTGACTTGTAACTATAAGCTGCGATCCCCTGGCCAAGATCAAACGGAATCCGATCGACAGAACTCAATGATCCGCGGAGATTCGAAGACCAGCAGAAGAACGACGGAATGCGTTGCCTGATCTAGAATATGGCGGTTATGAGCAACGACAGAGGCAAAAAGGGTTAATAGGCTCCGTTGGTCCTAACGGACGGATCAGTCAACGATGACGTAAGCGGAACGTCAAAGATATCGGAACAGGCTCGGTTTGGCACCCCGAAATACAAGGTGAGATCTGCAAGGCGTGTGTCATTCATTCATGATGGGCAGGATCAGAGAGCATGCGACAAGAAATGATGAAATGGAAGCCATGGCTGGTTGTTGGCCGCTTAGCAACTCGTAAAACCGAATATAACCGTACTAAAACCGCTGAAACTCAGAGCCGAAATGAACCAGCTGAGGCCCAGACTGGATCCCCCAAGGTGGTGGGGGTGGAGGATCCAAGAGTGGTTGTGATAGGTGCCAGGCAAACCCGAGGTTGCGACGCTTACGACTTCGCGAAATCGAAATCGTTTCGCCGAGACGCTGACAGGCCGACTGAAAATTGTGCCAGCCATTGGTGATTGGCTGAATCGATCCAGGGTTCAGCAGCAACTGTAGGAAACCTATATTTTTTACGCCTGAGAAGCATTTACAGTACAGTTCAAGTCTCAGGTGTTTCCGAAGTTGTCCTTATATCGAGCAGGCATTTCCTAAATTTGCTAGCCTTCTTATGCCGATTCCTCTACTCTACTCCGCTTCTGCGTCAGTTGCGGAACGCTTAGCTCCTCCTAATATAAGGTCGGCAACCTCCTATTCTGAAGTTTAGTTGACGCCTTCGCGGTTGGTTTCGCCAGTGATGGATGTTCAGGCTGCTAGATCGAAACGACAGGGTGGCAATACTGGTTGAGCAGCACTCTTGCAGATAGTAGTGGACCGAGCGAAGACGAGAGTGGACCTGAGGTTGATTCTAACGACGGCATGGCCACGTCAAGTAGCCACGAGATTGATCTGTGCGAAGTGTCATGCGGAATAAGCAATCGCGAGGATGCGAGTAACGAGCGTAGTGAGGATTTCACGGAAGCGGAGGCACGGGAGGCCGATGCCGAAGACTTTACTGGCGTGGAATCTCAAGAGGATGGTCGGAGCGAGGGCTTAGCCGGAATGGATTCACGGCAGCATGGCCGGAAGGGAGAGAATCCCCAGCAGGACGGTTCAAGCGAAGACCAGATTCAGATGCAAGTCGATCAGGTTAGTTAGCCTATCTTCCTAAAACGCCACTACGCTTCTTAGCGTGATGTCTGAAAGCCTAGAGACGTTCCTTTTCGTCTCCCGTTCTTTGCCATCCTCTGATGCATTGCACCGCCTTCACCCTCACCGGGACAGTCGTGTGGCATGACAGTCATATTCCTCCAATGGCCTCACTTTCAGCCTTTTTTCTCCTCATTTCCCGTTTCTCCTTCTCGTCTTCTTTCTCCCCCCATCCGGCGTCCGTCAGGTGCTTGAGGACGCCATTGTCAGCTCGTCGCAGGAGGAAGCGCTCCATCTCCAACCAGGCAAGGCTGGCCTGACTACGCCTTGGATAGGCTTCTTCGTGAGAGCTGAGCTAAGTCATGGATCCGCAGTGACATGACAATCTCGTCAGCAGTCAGACCACACCATACTCCGTGCTTCCAGAACGAACGTCAATATTCCGTCTCTAGCTTCCTTTCCTGCTCCAAGCCTCCTACGATTTCGCTTTTCATTGTTCTCCACCCCCTTCCCCCACCCACCTCCCCTTTTCCCTCCCCTTTTTCATCATTACAATGTCAGCAGATTGGGAAGGTGCGACGGTGGAGGTCCCTCCTGATGACGTGCCCATGCCAGACTGGCATGACGACGCCATAGATCTGACGTGTCCGAACAGCCAGTCGTGCTCGCCCCATGGCGCTCTTTCCCAGGACCTCTCCCCTCCTATTTCCCAAGACATCAAGCCGGATATCCAGCCTTTCGTCTCTTACCCGCCTGCCGTGCCTCTTGCCGTGCCTGTTCCCGAGCCTGCTGCCGAGCCTGGAGCCGGAGCTGATCGAGGGGCGGGAACCAGGCCTGGTGCAGCTGCATCCGGTGGTGAGGAGGGAGTGAGCGGTCCGGGAGGAGCGGAAGAAGGGGCTGCCAGGGGGGGGATGGCAGCAGCAGGCGGAGGAACGAGTGGGGAATGCCGAGGTGGGGGGGGAGCGGGAGGAGCAGGAGCAGGCTCGACTCCAGAGGTAGTTGGAGGCGTTGCTTTCTTTGGTGCTGGCACTGGCATTGACAGTCACACTGGTGCGCACACTGCCTTTGGTGCTGGCGCTGGCATTGACACTCACACTGCTGCTGACACTGCCTTTGGAGCGGGCGCTGACAGTGCATCTGGGCTGCACACGCAGCCATGCTCCATGGACATAGACATGCACGCGCCGCTGTCGCCCGACGTTCGACTGCTCAGTCTGCGGCATCAGGAGGACTCCTGCCACGAGTCCGCCCACGAGGGCAATGACCACCATCTGCCCCCGCCTGGGCCCAACGTTGCGGTCAGGGAAGCCGGCACACCGCCGGTATGTAGCACGTGCTCTGCTGTCAGGTGCGCTGGGCGCTTTCTTTCTTCCGTGCGAACGATGCCTGGCCATTGTATGAGGCTGTGCACGCTCTTGTCACTGGCTGTTGCTTGACTGGTTCTTTAGAAATTTCCAACCAAGTCGTTTTGCGGTTGGTTGGGCCCGTGCTTGTGCAGGAGTCTGAGGCAACTGATGAGGGCAACACATTGACTGCACCCGTACCTACGCATGCTGCTCCGGAGGTTGCTGCTGCTACAGCTGCTGCTACAGCTGATGCTACAGCTGCTGCTCGTGAGCCTGTTGCTGCTGAGAGGATCTCTGACCCGGGTTCTGGCATGGCTCCAGCGCCTGCTGCTGACGTGGCTGATGAGCCTGCTGCTGTCGCGGCTGATGATCCTTCTGCTGACGTGGCTGATGAGCCTGCTGCTGTCGTGGCTGATGAGCATGTTGCTGATGTGGTCGGCAAGGCAACCGGTTGTAAGGCTGGGGAGCCTGCTGCTGACGTGGCCAGTGAACCTGTTGCTGACGTGGCTGTTGAGGCTGCTGCTGACATGACTCAAGTGGAGGAGGGCCGCCCGGAGGAGGCTCGCTGGTTGTCCACTGACAGTTTTGGCTCCTTTGGGTGCGTCCATTACACAATCATGCAATTTTTCCCCCCTTTTTTGGTCTGGTCAGGCGGGCACCCCTGTCTCCCTCGCTTTAGGCCCACAAGCTTCTCACCATGCCATCTCCTCTCCTCTCCTCTCCCACCCTCATCCTGTTTGTTTCCCCGCACCCTCGCTCCTCCTCCGCATTCCCTTTTCCTTCCGTTCTGCTGTCTGCAGGTACAGCAGTCTTCAGCCCGCGAGTCAGGAGTTTCCAGACTCGTCCGACCTCTTCCCCTTGCCGTCAGACCATGCTCGCACCACGTGGCACGACCAGGCTGGTAACAGGGCAGCTTCTAACGAGGATGCGGAGGGAACGGAGGGCAAAGGCGTTAATGCAGAAGATCGGAATGGGGACGTGGGGGGCGGCAGCAGGCAAGGCAATACCAGAGAGGAGCAGGTGGGAGGGGAGGGCGAGGGAGGGGGAGATGGGGGGAGAGAAGGAGAATCAGGCAACAGTGAGGAGGGGAGGGTAGCTGAGAGCTGTGAAAAGAAGGAGGAGAGGGGGAAGGAAACAGCGGAAGGGGCTGAATTGGAAGGGGGGAAGGAAGGGGTCGGAGGGGAGAAAGGTGCGGGAGCATCCAAGGTGTGCATTGTAGAGGCGGAGACAAATGAGGTGGAGATGGAGAGAAAAAGTTTTCCTGATGGTGGCGATGGGCCACTGGTGGAAAGGGATACAGAGAGAGAGGGAGGGGTTAGGGTCGAGCAGGACGTAGGGGAGCAGGGACGGCGAGCAGGGAAGGGTGGGGGAGAGAAGGAGGGGGAGAGAGCAGGGGAGGCTGTGAAATTTCAGGATGAGCCAGCAGGAGAGGAGATAGAGATAGGGGAGGAAGTGAGTGAGGGGAAGGAGAAAGAAATGGGGGAGGAGAGAGAAGTGGGAAAGGAGAAGGGGTTAGGGGAGGGGGACGAGGTGGGAGGGGAGGAGATGGGAGACGAGAGGAAGGAGGGAGAGGAGGTGAGGGACGAGAGACGAGATGGCGAGGAGGAGGACGCAGTGGGTGCTGAGAAGAATGACGATGGTGGTCCGATGCCTGTGGATGGCCTAGATGGGGATGGACGCAGACCTCTGAGTGAACCGAGGGAGGGTCGGAATGCAGGTGGGAAGGACAAGAGGGAGAGAGAAGAAAAGGAGGGTGAGCGGGGGGGTGGGGATGATGTGGACATGTCAGATGCGGGGGTTAAGCCGACGTTCGAGGCGTGGCTGCCAGTGGACGCGGCAGAGGAGCCCTCGTTTGAGACGCAGCAGATGAAGGATGCGGCTGATGGGGGTGCTGGTGAATCCTTGGATGCTGCTGCGGGTGCGACGACTGCTCCCTCTGCAGATGTCACCATGGGAGTGGATGGAGATTCAGGCGACGCGGGTGAAGTAGGGGGTGCGGCAGTGGAGGCAAGGGGTGAAGAGGGGATGGAGGAGAGGAGGCGGGAGGAGAGGGTGGGAGGTGTAAGCACAGCCTATGGCACGTTCACTCGCTTTGCTAAGAGCCACTTAGTTGTCGGTACCAGCGTCAATGCTGGGAGTGATGGGGGTGGTGGTGGTGGTGCGGGTAGCATCGACACTCAGGAAGACAAAGAAGGAGGGTATGGGGATGCACCAGCAGAGGAGGACGGGGATGTTCCTGCTGCTAGTGCATCAAGAGTGCCTGCTGCTGATGCACCTGGCTCTGCTGCTCCCGCTCCCACGCATCCATCTGGATTGCCAAGCGAGCCTGCTGTGGACGAAGAGGAGACTCAGCTGGGAGTGGGAGAGGAGGCGAATGAGGGGGGCATAGAAGAAGCGGAGGTGGTGGCGAGTGTTAAACGGGGGAAGGAGGTGCAAGAGGAAGCGCAGGGGGAGACCGTGGAGGATAAGGTGGAGGAGGATGAGGAGGGGGGGCAGAAGTTGGCGGTCTCTGAGCGTGGGGCAGGTGAAGGAGGAGGGGGGGACGGAGAGAGGGAAGCAGATGAAGACGAACGATACTTGGTGGTGGAGGTGGGCGGGATGAAAGGGGGGGTCACAATGGAGGTGGGCGGGGTGGGAGGTGGGTTGGCAGTGGCCGTGGATGGGGTAAGAGAAGGAGAGGAGGGGATGGAGGCGAGAGTGGGGTTGAGTGCGGATGGGGAGATACGGGACGGAGAGGAGGGCACAGGGGAGGAGCAGACGGGGCAAGAGGGCGTGGCTGGCGGTGGCAGGGCAGTTCGTGAGGGAGCTGCATTTGGGGCGCCTCAAGAGCAGGATGGCGTGGCTGGTCCTAACAGTGCAGTTCGTGAGGGGGTTGAGGCGCCGGGCGAGGCAGTGGCTGTTGGAGACAGGATGGAGGGAGGGGCAGGGGAGGGAGGGCAAGGAGCAGGAGAAGCAGAGGGAGGAGGAGCATTGGGGAGGGGGGAAACCGGAGCAGTGGTGAGTGGGGCAGGAGCAAGAGCTGCAGCAGCAATTTCAGCAGCTTTACTGGGCAGCAGGCAAATCTCAGAGCTCGAGGTATCAGCTAGTGTGAAAGTAGACCTGCCAGAGGGAACTGCTGCTGCCGCACAGACAGTAGCCAAGGCGCTAGCTGCTAGAATGGCAGGACAGGTGGCAGCAGCCATGGGTGCTGGGCTTGACGAGGCCAACATGCGACCCGGTTCTGCCATCCGGGGTCAGAACAATGTCACGGAAAGGGAGGCGGGTCGTGCTCCAGTGAGGGACGGAGATGTGCTCCAGGGAGATGTGCTCTTCAGGTCGTCCCACATTGCTCAGGTGCCGGCAGCGGGTGAGGCTTCAGCGGCAGAAGAGATGGAATTTGACGTGATGGTGATCGGGAGGAGGAGGAAGAGCTCGGGGACCCCTGCTGGCACGCCCACGGCAACACCGAGAGATGGGAGGGGGCATGCCAGGATAGATGCTGCTGAGGGTGGTTTGGATGGCAGTCCACTGGGTATAAGCAAGGGGAGAAAACGAGCCCGTGGGCTTCAGGGCGAAGGAAGGAGCCGGCGAGAGGAAGATAATATTGAGAAACCACTGTTCGTTGAGCCACTGCCACGAGGTGGTGCCACAGGTGCGAATGTAACAACAGGTCCTGCTAGAGCTGCCACTTGTGGAAAGCCAGCTAGAGTCTCCGCATTTGCTGGTGGTCCTAGGGCTGGTGGTGTTCCCCTGGCCACTCCAGATGCTCCAATTGCCCGCTCAGCTCCTGCTTCTGAACCGCCGCCAGCCAGGAAGAAATGGTGGCAGGAGTTGTATGATTCACCCAGTGCTGGAGGCTCACTTAGGCGAGATAGCTTGGGAGGAATCTCTGGGAGGAATGCTGCTTCGCAGATTGACCCATCTTGGGACCTCCTAGATGTGATGATGAATGCAGGAGTATCCCTACCGCTTCCGGCAAGGAGGGGTAGGCATCGCCCACAGTTTTGAAAGATTTTTTTTTTTTGTGCTTACTACAACCTGTGTTTTTATGTTTGTATATACTTGCTGGGGTATATGTTTCCCTTGTATCGGTGGAATACTGTGGTGGAATCAAGATGTTTGCTGTTGTCCCTAGCAGTGTTGGCTGGAAGGAGGGGCTCACCAGCCCCGAAGCACAAACACTGTTGACGTTCGTCAAGCGTGTTTTTGCTCCATGATTGATGTTTGTTTTGTTTTCCAAATGTCTCTGCTGTTCGAAATTTGCAGCAGCTTGGCGTTTTCCGGCTGCAAGTGTGTGAGGTGCTCCAGCAATTCCACGAGAGAATCTGGACGCTTTTCTGGGTGTCGGCGACAAGATGCCTGTCAGTCTGTTTTGTTTTGCGTGCCCTCGTCCGTCCGTCGGTTTCCCTAATTGCCACGGCTTCTCGCGGTGGCCTTGGATTTGCGGAGAAGGCAGAATGGCTGCATGCAACAGCATCAGCTTGGCAGCTAGGAAACAAGTGGTTGAAGTGCGGCTGCCCAACCTTATCACTTCACTTCGAAACCTGCGTTGAACCGTCGATAAGAAACTGTCAAGCAGCTCTCACCCTGCGATCGGTCCCAGATTCTGTCCGGTCGCTTTACTGGCTGGCCAACGTGCCCGCTAAACATTTTCCCAAGAAAGCTCCAGAACTGCATCTCCTCCATCCCAAACCTCCGCGCAACCACATCCCCGTGTGCGCAGCCTACACCCATCTGCGCGCATCCTTTCCTGCCCAAAACACCACAGAAAATCTACACCTGTCCATGTGGTCCTAGACATCTTGACCTGGGGCAAAAGCATCTTGTCACGGCCAGGGCGGCGGAACTCGGGAATCGGGGGATCTCCAGAAAGCCCCATCCGCGCGGTCAATCGCGCACCTTCCGCGTCAAAACCCTCGGCGCAAGAGAGACACATGGCGTTTCGTCTGGCTCCAGCCAGACTCTTGGGGTTATCGTGTTCGGTGGAATCAAGGCGGGTTGTGCTGGAGGGGGCAGGGCGGGTGAGAGAAGCGGCCAAAAGGCTGTGAGGTCGCGTGAGGAGAGCCAGAGTTCGTCTGTCCTGTCCTGTGTCCCTCCCTCCTGTCCTGACTTCTGGCCTCTTCCTGTGCTGTTCTCTCGTTCTTGTCGTCGTCCAAAGGGCCCACCCCTTGCCTGTTGTTAGCAAGTGCTGTTTGCGCTAGTATCCGATTCGAGCTAGAGATAAGCCAATTTGCTGTTCGGCCTTCTTCGTTCAACCTTGACAAGCTGGACAAAGCACCTTGGATTGTGCACGCCGCCACCGTTGTTTCTTGGTATGGCTGTTGCGCTGTGCCGTCTAAAATCCATGGCCATTCTGTAGATATATACTGTATCCTTATTTTTGTAGTACCTCCTGGCATTGCTAGCCTGTTCCACTTAGCATCCCCCCTCACAATCCAGTCTCAGTACTCTCCTGCATGTCGCATTTATTGTTCGTCGTGTTCTCCTTATGATCTAATGCCAACTCCGCATCTCTGTTTCTGTCAATGTGTACAGGTGCTTCCCAGATCTGCCGACGTTTGACTATTCGTCTCGCAACTCCAACCTCTCGAGCCGCGCTTCTCAACGGGCCGCTTGCACTACCAACCTTTTTTCTGGAATAAGCTAGTATCGCATTGAAAGCTTCCATGTCGCTCCCTCCGAAGGCGCTGTCGATTCAGCTCCCGCCGAACCAGTTCGAGGACGAGGCGGGGGGAGGCGGCAGCTCGTCCGATGGCAGCGGCGCGGACGGCGTCGCGAAGAAGGAAGACGAAACGCAGAACACGGGCACGCCGAGCGGGTCATTGAAGCGGAAGCGGAACCTTCCTGGAAACCCTGGTACGACATTTGACCGCATGCCAACGATCGGCAGCGACAGGACCCTATGTCGAAATGCGCGCTTTGCCGTGCTGCTGGTGCTTTCTACTCGCGTCGTTTCTTGCTACCATTTGTTTCTTAATCCTCTCTCCTTCGCCGTTCCGCCACTCTTCTCTTTCCCATCGCGTTCTTCCTTCTTTCTCTCCTCCCCCATCCCGCGTCTCGTCATCTACTCTCAGATTTCCGCGCCGAAGTGGTCGCGCTCTCCCCGCGCACCCTCTGCCGGAATGGTTTCTTATCCCCTCCCCTCTCCCCCGCTCCTTATCTCTTCTCTCCCCCATGCGTCTCGTCGTCTACTCTCAGATCCAGACGCGGAAGTGGTCGCGCTCTCCCCGCGCACCCTCCTCGCGACGAACCGGTTCGTGTGCGAGATCTGCAACAAGGGCTTTCAGCGCGACCAGAACCTGCAGCTTCACCGCCGCGGCCACAACCTCCCCTGGAAGCTCCGCCAGCGCACCACGCAGGAGGTGCGGAAAAAGGTTTACGTCTGCCCGGAACCCACGTGCATTCACCACGACCCGTCGCGCGCGCTGGGGGATCTGACCGGGATCAAGAAGCATTTTTGCCGCAAGCACGGGGAGAAGAAGTACAAGTGCGAGAAGTGTTCGAAGAAGTATGCGGTGCAGTCCGATTGGAAGGCGCATATGAAGACGTGCGGTACTCGCGAGTATCGATGCGACTGCGGAACCCTCTTTTCAAGGTAGCAAACCCGGCCCTTCGCATTTCCTTTTTTTTTTGTGTTTTTTTTTTTTTTTTTCTCTCTCTCTCTCTCCAACCCCTCTTTCCTCCCGTCCTGCCCTTTTCAACAAATGGCGATCCTTTGGGGACTCATCCCCCCTTCCCCGTCGTTTAATCTTGTCGTCCCCCTTGGCGATTCGTCAGAATTTTTCATCCTTAGCGCCTTAAATAGTCCGTGTAATTAGCTTGTTTCTTTCTCTTCGTTCTCCTTCGCAGGCGCGACAGCTTTATCACCCATAGGGCTTTCTGCGACGCGCTCGCCGACACCGGTCCTACCAGCGTCAAGCCCGAGCCCGGCGATTCCGCCACTGCAGGTGCGGCTCCCGGCAGCGTCGGCGGGCTCGGCCACAAGGGCGCGGGATTCGAGGGGGACGCGCTGCGAGGCGCCGCCGTTATGTTCGGAGATGACGTCACGAAAGCCGCTGCTGCTGGGGGGAACTTTCTCCCCGGTCAGCAACAAAACTTCCAGGGGCAGAGCGGACAGTCTCAGCAGCAGCAGCAGGGTCAACAGCAGCAGTGGTCGTCGCAGGAGTTCGCCGATTTGGTCAGTCGAGCGATGAACAAGCAAGGCGGGGGCGGTATGGGGCTGTGGCTCGGCCAGGGGTCCAACAACGGCGGGCAGAGCCAGGGGATGACGCCGCAGCAGCAGATGCTACAGGCTGTGAGCCAGGGAGGGCTGAACCCGAGCGCTCTGCTGGCTGCGATCAACAATAGTGGCGGAAGCATGGCGAGCCTGCTGGGTGGCGCTGGAGGTGGCTCGCTGGGCGAAGCTGCTGCGATGCTGCTGCAGCAGAATCAGCAGCAACAGGGGCTACAGCAGCTGCAGCAAGACCAGCAGCAGCAGTCGCTAATGCAACAGCAGCAGCAGCAGCAGCAGCAGCAGCAGCAGCAGCAGCAGCAGCAACAGCAACAGCAGCAGCAACAGCAGCAACAGCAGCAGCAACAGCAGCAACAGCAGCAGCAACAACAGCAACAGCAGCAGCAGCAGCAGCAACAGGAGTCCCAGGACCAGCAGCAGGTGCTTCTTCAGGCGATTCGCAATCTGGGAGGATCCAACCAGCTTCTGGCTAACCTGGACCTCTCTAAAGTCTCCAGTCTTCTCTCCTCCCTGGGCGGCGGAGCCGGCGGTAAGGACATCGGCTCTCTAATCTCCTCCCTTCTCGGCCCAAACAGCAGCATGCCTGCTGGGGGTCTCTCGGGAGCAGCCAACCTGGACCCAGGCTACGACCAGAACAGTAACGTCTATGGCGGTGGCGTTGGTGGCGGTGGCGTTGGTGGCGGTAACAACCAGGGCAGCCTCTCAGGGTCTGCAAGTGGTCTGCCTGGAGTGGGCATGGGGGCGGACCCCTACAACCCCGGCGGCGCTGGCCTGCACGGGTCAGCGCCGGGGGTTGGAGACGGTCTAGGGCAAGGCGCACAGCAGGACGGCCTGCAGGGGCTGTCAGGGGTTAACCTCCCGGATCTCCTGCAGCAAGCGGGCGCTGTGCTCGCCCGGTCCGGAGGCCTGGGGAACCTCGGTGGTGCCGGTGGCGCGGGGTCGTCGCTTCTCACAAGAGCCATTGAGACGCTGGCCAGTCAGGGTTTGCCGCTGGGCGGAGGGCAGAACTCGGGCCTGCTGGACGCGGTGGCTGGGCTGGGAGGGGGGCAGGGCAACTTCGGGGGGGCAGTCGGCGCGCTGGCAGGGTCTCTGCCGCAGCAGGAACAGGGGGGGATGATGGGAGGGCAACAGCAGCAGCAGCAGAATCAGCCACAGCAGCAGCAGCAGCAGCAACAGCAGCAGCAGCAGCAGCAGCAGCAGCAGCTTTCCAGTGAGCTGATTCAGCGCCTGGCGGATAAGTTACCGCCCGGTCTTAACGTGGACACGCTGCAGTCCGCTCTGAGCATGTATCCGGAGCTTGGAGCCAACGGCGCGCTGTCCTCCGCCCTCAACTCCCTGCTCTCAGGAGGAGGGGGCTTCATCGCCTCACAGCAGCAGCAACAGCAGATGGGGATGGCGGGAGGGGAGAATGCGACAGGCGGACTGGGTGCAGATGGCTGGGGTTCTAATATGGGTGGGGGGAATGGTGGGGGCTTGGAACAGGGCATTTCGGGCATGCAGGATATTTTCTCTTCTGGTGGAGGCCAGAACTCGGTGATGGCTGCCATGCTGTCGGCAAGCAATGGGGATCTAGCAGGTGGATTAGCCGGTGCGTTTGGAGGGGATGGCAGTGGGGGCCTGCTGGGTGCTGGTGGGGACATGCCTTCAGCATTGCAGAATATGCTTATGGCCAGGCAGCAACAGCAACAGCAGCAGTTCAAGCAGCCGCAGCAGCCACAGCTGCAGCAGCAGCAACAGCAGTTACTGCAGAGCGCTGGTCTCAATACTGACACATTGACTGCGGCTTTGCAAAGGGCACAGCAAGGCGGCCATGATCTCGGAGCATTTGGGACGGTAACTAGGGATTTTCTAGGGCTTGCTCGCTCTGTCTCAGCGTCTAGAAATGTGAACGAGCTGCAAGATCTGGCAGCTTTTGGTGCGCCAGCAATGAACGAGGGTGCGACAGGATAGATCAATTGGTGCTATTTGTGTTGCATTTTTATTAGTGTAAAAGGTTTAACGTTTGTTTGTCGTACTGCAGTGTGTTTTTAGGAGGAAGCTTATGCAGGAGAAAGGGGTGCTGCTGAAATGCAACTCTCAGCCAGCGTTGCACATTCGTGCGTGTGGCTGAGTGAGCGGCTGGGAGGTCTCTCGGTTCAAGGGTAAACATCCGGAATGTCAGGTACATTCCGGGTGTTTGACGCTGGAATCCGGGTTTTGTTATGGTCGGTTTCACAAACCTCCTGACTGTTTCCGAACGTTTTCTTTCGGGACCCGGAGCCATCCGCATGGGCCCGAAAATCATCCTGACAGGAAAACCAGCTGTGACGGATTCGCCCTAGAGGGCTTCAACCAAGCAGCAACTGCATCGTGATTTTCTCCCACAGCAGATAGTTCTCCCACCCTCCAACCAGGTTGTTCCGGTTTGATTGCTACTTGTGAACCCGTTCCCGGGAGAGCGCTGGTGTGTAGTGGTGTGTGGCTAGTGTTTTGGGTGGCAGAATAGTCTAGTATTTCACATCCAAGGTGAAAGTGTGCTGACTGTTAGTGTATCTCGATGCTCTAAAACGCTTCGCACCGAACACCCTGCCTGCGCAAAGTGGGTAGTATGAAAGCTTCTGAGGAATCCAGAAAAACAGAGGGATTTTTCCGGGAATGCTGAATTTTCAAGGTCTTCTGTGAGGTGAGCCCTGTGCCCTCCGGGTCCCGTATAACGAAAAATTAGTACCGTTCGCGACAGGTCGTGACAAGTTCCACGGAAGGGGAGGCGTAGCATATTCGCTTCGCATGCGTGGGGGAGATAGGACCAATCCGCAGAGGCCAGAGCGTACAACTCTGCGCGTAGCGGAAGCGCAGAGTGAGCTGAGCAGGCGCGTGGTTAGGTTGGCGCGCGGAGCTGGCGGAAAGTGGAGGCTGCTTTTTGGCGCCAACGACCAGCCTCGAGTTCTCCCAACCTCCCCTCCCCTCCTCGATTTCATATTTTCGTTTCTCCTCAGCTTGATGTGTGGTGGAGAGGAAGGGAGAGAGGACGCAGAGGGGCTATGTAAGTTGGTGTGTCACTTGCCTGCCTGCCTAGCGGCAATATACACAGTGTGTGTGGATAATGAAGGGTCGTAATGTTTAGTTGCTAGAGGAATGCCGCCCTGGACGTGTGCTGTGCATCAATCGGAAGAGCACCGCGTGTTCGTTCCACCGTTGATGATGATGGCACGTTGCAGTCCCAATCGTGCCTTCCGCAGTCAGGCGTGAAGCGAGCTATTTTAGTCCCGGTAGTCCCTTGTTTCGATGCGACATAATCGACCCTCACCATCATGTCCGCCTCATTTCGCAGACTAGCGATTAGACTATGGAGACTTCCTGTGCTCTTTTAGCGCCAGCGGTTGCACCGTCAACTTAAAAGTAGCTTCTACTAAAAAAGCGATCACCTTTCCATTAGCCTTTAACCTGCCCATTTCGTATTTTCTCGACCTAATTTCTCAGCCGACCTCACCGTCGACAGCGATGGGAGACACCCTCGGCGCCATAGTCGAGTACTTGGAGCGAAATAAGTTCCTCTCAGCAGCAGCAGCCCTACGCTCCGAAATTTCCAGCAAGAAGCAGCCGAGACCCAACACTCTCGCCTCCAGTCACTCCCTCCCGCCGCTCTCTCCTTCCTTCTCACCGTACACAACCTCCTCCTCCTCCCTCCCGCCTCCCGATGCCTCCGATAATGACGTCAACATGTTCCTCTGGATGAAGCACGAACAGATGTTCTCCAAATCCGGCTCGACATCAGGTTCGGGGCAAGGTTCGGGACCAAGTTCGGGTTCAGGCTCGGCAGGCGGGGGAATATTTGGCTCGGCATTTTCCGGTTCGGGATTCTCCGGGCCCGCGGACGGCGCCGGCGGAGATTCTAACGCAGGCGGGACTGGCGGCGGGTTCTCAGGCTTCCACCCAATCGCGCGCGGCAACAGCGCACCGCCGCAATTCCTTCAAAACGCCATGTTAAAATGGTCCCCCCCGAGCTCTCCCCCTGCCGGCGGAATGTTCGACCCTGCGCCGGCCGCGGAGGCCTCTAAGCCGCCACGCGCGGGGAGCAGCGAGCACCCGTTCTCCCCGTCCTTCTTCCCCACGTCCCCCTCGCTGCCCTCCCCCGCGTCGCTGGACGTTGTACCCGAGGAAGACGTGTTTCTAGGGGGAGAGGACGCGGAAGCCGCCGCGGCGAAAGCGGAAGCGGAAGCGGAGGCGGAAAAGTCTGGCGGAGGAAGGAGTGATGGCAAGAATGCCGGAGAGGGTAATAACGAGGAAAATGCGGGCAGTGCGGCTGCTTCTACTACCGCAGTTATTCCTTTGCTGGACGACGGCGATGCAGTTTTCTTCAGCGCGCCGCAGAAGCTGCAACCCATTCCGCTGCCCATAGAAGAACCCGTTCTTTTCGGCGAAGTGACTACAACGGACCCTTTCCGAGGCTCGTTAGAAGCAGCTGCGGCAGCCGCAGCCGTTGCAGCGGCCGCCGCAACAGGCGGCGGAGCATCCGGCGGGAGAGGCGGGTTAGGTATTTTCGACGCGGAATTGCCGCCTAGGATAGGGTCGACCCAGCGCAGTAATAGCTCCCGCCCGTATGACGTCAGCAGCGGGGACGAGACTCCGCCTGCCGCAATGGCGAAGAGCAGCAGCGCGGGCGGAACCCCCGCGGGGGACGCGGAAGGGGGAGGGTTTGGAGAAGAGCTGGACTTCTCCTGCGGGCTTGGCGGGGGCGGGGGGAATGGGGAGAATGGGGGGAATGGGGGGGACGGGGGGAACGGGGGGGACTCTTCAGGCGCAGGCGGAGACGCTTCCCCCGGGCTGTTCGACCAAGCCTTTGGGAACTCCAGCAATAATAGCACCCCGCGAGGATCAGTCGACTTGTCTGGTAGTGGGGAAGGGTTATCTACTGGTGATGCAGGGGGGGGGAGGGACGTAATAGGGCACCGGCATGGAAGCACGGGCCATGGGGCATCACCAGCAACGGGGAGAGTAGGAGGAGCAGGGGGAGCAGGAGGAGCAGGAGGAGCAGGAGGAGCAGGAGGAGCAGGAGGAGCAGGAGGAGCAGGAGGAGCAGGAGGGAAGAGAGGGCCAGGAGACGCTGCTTCGGTGTTGGCGGGATGGGGGCTGCTGTCAGCTGGGGGTAGCGGCTCATTCGCCGCAACCGGCGCTCTAGGAAGCCCTAGCTCTTTCGGAGGAACCTCCGCGGCTGGAAACGCTGCCGACGCTGCCAAGCCTCTGGTTCGGGCTTCCTCCGTGCCCACAATCACGTTCGGGCCGGTTGTTGTAGGTTCGGAGGTTGTCCCGAGCCTGAACCCCGTGCCTCTGGGAACGCGCAAGCCTCGTCCGCCGATCAGCCACGCGTCCCTGCCGTCGGCCCAGCAGCAGCCGCCGTTGCCGTGCCTGCAGCGCTCGCCTGGTAGTGGAAGCTCGGGCGGAGGTTCGGAGAAGAGGTTCGGCATGGGGAGGCATGGGATGAGCGGACTGAGCAGGGGGAGCCCCCCCGCAAAAACAGGAAGGGAGGGCGGAAGAGGAGGGGTGTATGTTGTGGGAGGGTACTTGCTATCTACTCTTATGATGATTAAAGGGGCGGATGATAACGAGGATATGTATGAAGACGAGGAGGATTTGGGGTATGTGAGGCGGTCAGTGGGGAATGAGGAACAGTTTATGCTCATAGAGGCCGACCCGGGGGATGAGCAGGAGGACGCGGGGGAGGGGGAGGAGTTGGCCGACGGAAAGGGGGAAGGGGAAGGGAAAGCTGGTGGGGGGAAGGGGGAGAAGGGCAGTCCGCAAGGGGGGGGCGGGGAAGGGAAGGGGAGCAAGGGGAAGGAAGGGGGGAAGAGCGGGGGAGGGGGAAGAGGGATGCGGAAGGGGGGGATGAGGAGATGTACTTTTCAGGAGAGGAGTCGTACCAAGAAGCGGAGGGGGGAGAGGACGGGGCGGGGGGCGACGGGGGAAGCGCTGGAGTAGGTGCTGAGGGGGGTAAAGGGCACCGATCTGTCCCGAGCTTTGGAGTGGTGGACGCGTGGGATGGGATGTTCGAGGGGAGGGGGGAGGGGGCGAAAGGCGCTAGCACGGGAGGAGGGGCGGCGGGAAGGCAGAAGAGGCAGGGAGGGAAGGAGCACCTGAGCCGTCAGAGAGAGGAGGAGGAAGGCGAGATGGGGGAGGAGGGGGAGGACGAGGAGGAAGGGGGGGAGGGGGAAGAGGAGGGGGAGGAGGGGGAGGAGATGTACGAGGGGCAATCGGTGGGCGCAGATGCGGGGAGCTCGGTGCTGGGGTCGTTGCAGGACTTAGACGAGGATAACATGCATCCCACGCCCACAGGGACCAAGCCCCGCCTGGGCGTGCTCAGTGACGAGGAAGACGAGGAGGAGGGGGAGGAGGGGGAGGAGGGGGTGAGGGCGGAGGGAGGGGGGAAAGCGGGGGGTGAAAGAAGGGGCGGCGGCGGCAGGGAATGCGGTGGGGCGGATGGGGTGGCGATAGAGATGGGGGGCGGGGAGGGGACGGGCGGGGAGGGGACGGAGGAGGCGGCGCCGAGGAAGCGGAGGAGCTGGAAGGGCGGGGACGTGGGGAGTGCGTCGTTTGGGGTGGTGGATGACGTCACCGGGGAGAGGGGCACAGGCACAGCTGCTGGCACAGGGCTGTTTGTGTCTACCGCAGCAGCAGCAGCAGCAGCAGCAGCACAGGATGCTGCTGGTACTGGTACTGGTACGGGTGCTGCTGCTGGTGGGGGGGGCAGCGGCGGGTTTGGCGACTCATTCTCAGGGGGGTTCTCCTTCCCGTCCCCCTCCAGCGAGGGGCTCTCTAGGGAAGGCTCTGGCTGGTCCGGAGGGGCGGGCACACCTGGGGGAGATACCATCAACATCAGTCCTTCGGATACCCTAGGGGGAGGGGGGAGCGGCGCAGGCAGAGGGGGAGGGGGGATGGGGGAAGCGGGGTTGGCGGATGAGCTTGCGAGTGGGCTGGAACGGATGGGCAGTGTGGCGGATAGCACTCTGGAGGTGTGGAAGCGGCAGGCTAGTGGCACATTCGCTAAAGTCACAGCCATGGACTGGGACCCCCCTGCTGCTGCTGCTGCTGCTGCTGCTGCTGGGGCGGGAGGGGAGGAGAAGAAGGCGAGGAGTGGGGGCGGGGCGAGTGGGGAAAATGGGGAGGAAGGAGAAGCGAAGGAAGGGGGGTTGGGGATGGGAGGGATGGGGATGTGTCGATGAAAGAGGCCGGGGGGGTAAGAAGGGGAAGGAGAAGGGGGAGAAGGGGGAGAAGGGGGAGAAGGGGGAGAAGGGGGAGAAGGGGGAGAAGGGGGAGAGGGAGGGAGAGGGAGAGGGGAAGAAGGGGGATGAGGGCGAAGAGGAAGGGGCAGAGAAGGGGGAGAATGAGGTGGAGGGGGCGAAGAAGGGGACAGGGGGGGAGGAGAAGGGGGGGGCGGGGTCAGAGGAGAAGGAGGAGTTTGAGATCTTCAATCTGCGTGTCATCCACCGCAAAAACAGGTCCGGATGATTCGTTTGAAGTGTGAGAATTCGCGAAGGTAAAAAGTGAATCAGCACCAAGGCACACAAGGGTTTCTATTGTGATGAGGGGTGATGAGATTGGTTGGTTCCTAGGCCAGCATTATTGGCCCCAACCAATAAGTGTGGTTGAACAATTATTGGTGGATCCAATAACCTTAGGAAAGATTATTGGAAGTCCCAATAATTGAGGATCCAACTCTTGGAGGCCAATAATCGCCAAGAGAGGGAACCCAACCTTCTTAGGATCCCAACCCCAACTAGGGTGGTTAACCCTATTTTACACCTAGATTATACTAGGTTGAGTAACGATTCTATGCAGGATAATAGAATAGAGGGGATATTCTAACGTGAAGAGCATGTGGGTTTGCATTGTCTGACAGACGACCTGGTTCCAACATGTTTGGATTATTTGTCAAATGATGGGTTTTTGGAGGACATGGGCCTGCTTTGCTTGGCGTCTGGAGATTCTGCATGGAGTGTCCATCCCCGAATTTCACCCCCGAATTTCGAGGCGATTTTTGAGGCGCTTAAAAAAGAGATTCTGCATGGAGATCATGTCCATCCCCGAATTTGACCCCCGAATTCCCCACCACCACCCCCACCACCACCCCCACCACCACCCCCACCACCTCCCCCACCACCACCCCCACCACCTCCCCCCCACCTCCCCCACCACCACCCCCACCACCTCCCCCACCACCTCCCCCACCCCCCGCTGTCCCTCATCAGAACGGGCTTCAAGGAAGAAAAGGACGTTCCAGTGGTCCACAACTCAGTGATTGCCGGTCGCCTCTACGTCACCGAATATTTAGGCTCGGCTGCGTTCAGCAAGGCCATGCCGGCACACGATCTGCACACGGGCACGGACGTGTGCATGAAGATCATATTCTCTCTCGCTTCTCTCCCTCGCCTCCTCCCGCTTCCTCCTTCCCATCCCCTCAGTGACTGTCGCCGCATGCCAGAACTGGAGTCGAGGAGGAAAAGGACTTTCCAGTGGTCCTCAACTCAGTGATTGCCGGGCGCTACTACGTGATGGAGTGCCTGGGGTCCTCTGCGTTCAGCAAGGCGATCCAGGTGCACGATCTGCACACGGAGGACACACGTGCGTGGATGAAGATTAAACACCCCCCCTTCCCTCCCGCTTCTTGCCTAACCCTTCTCGCTTGCCTCCCAATACCAGAATGGGCTTTGAAGAGGAAAAGGACTTCCCAGTGGTCCTCAACTCAGTGATCGCCGGGCGCTACTATGTGACGGAGTACCTGGGTTCGGCAGCCTTCAGCAAGGCGATCCAGGTGCACGACCTGCACACAGGCATGGACGTGTGCATGAAGATCAAACCGCTCTCTCCCTCCCTTGCATCCTTCCCTCTCCCTCCTTCCCATCCCCTCCGGGACTGTCTCTGCATGCCAGAACTGGATTCGAGGAGGAAAAGGACTTCCCAGTGGTCCTCAACTCAGTCATCGCGGGGCGCTACTATGTGACGGAGTACCTGGGTTCGGCAGCCTTCAGCAAGGCGATTCAGGCGCACGACCTGCACACGGGCATGGACGTGTGCATGAAGATAATCAAGAACAACAAGGACTTCTTCGACCAGAGCCTCGATGAGATCAAGCTCCTGAAATTCATCAATCGGCACGACCCCGCGGACGAGCACCACCTGCTGCGGCTGTATGACTACTTTTATCACAGGGTGAGTGTATGTGTGTGGAAGTGTGTGTGAGTATGTGTGTGTGTGAAAGCGTGTTGTGTGTGTGGGGGAGAGGGAGCGGGTTGCAAGAGGGAGTGGTTGAGAGTGGGTATGTGTGTGCATGAAGATCATCAAGAACAACAAGGACTTCTTCGACCAAAGTCTTGACGAGATGAAGCTGCTCAAGTTCATCAATCGTCATGATCGGACGAACATCATTTGCTGCGCCTCTACGACTACTTTTACCACTGGGTGAGCGAGTATGTCTGTGAGTGAGTGCACGAGCGAGTGAGTGAGTGTGTGTGTCCGTCCGCACGAGTGGACCAAGAGGGAATGGTTGGAAGTGTGTATTACAGCAAGAAAACAAGAAATGTCCTCCGCCCTGCCCCCCTCTTCCTCACCAAGAGCACCAGCTCATCATGTATGAGCTGATGCGCGCCAACCTTGTATGATTGGTCGAATAGCCCTCCTCTCTTCCTTTTTTGAGGCGCCTAAAAATAGACTCCTCTCTTCCTTCCACAACCCCCTTCTATTCCACCCCCTGCCACTCCCCTCTCTTCCTTCCCAGGAGCACCTGTTCTTTTGTTGAGGCGCCTCAAAAAACTTCCCCCACCCCCCGTCACTCCCCTCGCTTCCTTCCCAGGAGCATCTGCTCATCATCTGCGAGCTGCTGCGCGCCAACCTGTACGAGGTGCTCTTGTGGCCCCCTTCCTTCCTTCCACAACTCTCCTCTCCCCCCCCTCCCTCCCCCCTCTCCCCCCCCACCCCCCCCCCCCCCCCACCCCTGGTGCATCAGGAGCATCTGTTCATCATATGCGAGCTGCTGCGCGCCAACCTGTACGAGTTCCACAAGTACAACCGCGAGTCGGGCGGCGAGGCCTACTTCACCATGGCGCGCATCCAGGTGCGTGAAAGCTTCATCTACAGTTGTACGAGTTACACTGAAAGTAAGGGGGGGTCTGGACATGATGGCGCAGAGCTGCACAGTGATGCTCAAGTCTCTCGCGTCTGAGCTGTCAAGGGTTCGGAAGCACCTGATGCGAGAGTGCTTGCCTAAAGCTCATAATCTGTAATGGACTATTCAGATCAGAGTGCTTTCCTGGTCAGCTCAGAGGAACATTAGTTCATGCCACGTTCCTTGTTTTAGAAGTTAACTTTACGCCTGGAACCTACATGGTGCGTCCTCTTGGCCGATTTATCTGATCCAATGCAACCTGAAGCCCGAAAACATGCTCTTCAAGAGCTACTCGCGCTGCCCCTCCCCTCCCTTCCCTCCTCTCCTTTCTCCCTGTGTCCACCAGTCCATTGCCAAGCAGATATTACAAGCCCTATGTTTCTCTCGGGCTGATCCACTGCGACCTGAAGCCCGAGAACATCCTCATCAAGAGCTACTCGCATTGGCTCTATCCTCTCCCTCCCTTTCCCCCGTTTGGTCCACCAGTCCATCGCCAAGCAGATATTACAAGCCCTTCGTTTCATGCACTCGCTGGGGCTCATCCACTGCGACCTGAAGCCCGAGAACATCCTCATCAAGAGCTACTCGCGCTGCCTGGTGAAAGTCATCGACATCGGCAGCAGCTGCTTCACCACCGACCACCTCTGCTCCTACGTGCAGTCGCGCTCGTACAGAGCGCCGGAGGTCATCTTAGGGTTACCATATGGACCCAAGATTGATATCTGGTCGCTGGGGTGCATTCTGGCTGAGCTCTGCTCCGGGCAGGTAAAGTGGAGAAACGGAGAAGAATCGGGGAGTGGTTTTGGCTGGGAATGATGTTGTGGAGGTTGCACCTGTGTAGCACATATCAATCAAATGTTTGGGCTGGTCATGTCTGTGCGGGTAAACGCCCATTTCAAAGGGGGTACGACGGCTTCCCATGCTCCATCCTGTCCCTCCCATTCTGATAGACCCTTTCCAATGAACCCATTCCACTAAATCCAATTCCTTCACGTATGCCATCCCTTTCCCCATGCCTTGCAATGAGGTGACTTTTGAGTCGACTCAAATGCCTTGCAGGTTCAATTCCAGAACGACTCGCTGGCCACGCTGCTGACGCTTGTGATCCGCAACTTCGGGCCCATTGATTCATCAACCCATCCCATGCTATGCCTTTTTCCCCATGTGCTTCAGGTTCTGTTCCAAAACGACTCCCTGGCCACGCTGCTGGCGCGCGTGATCGGCATCATCGGCCCCATCGAACCACGGCTGCTGCGCAAAGCCAGGGACCGCCACAAGTACTTCACCAAGCGCAACGTGCTCTACGAGAGGAACCCCGTGAGTGGCATTGTGCGGTGCTGTGCGGTGCAATGGTGTCCTTTGTAGTGTTGTGTGATGCTGTACGGTGCTATGATGCGCTGCGCAAAGCCAGGGACCGCCACAAGTACTTCACCAAGCGCAACGTGCTCTATGAGAGGAACCCTGTGAGTGGTAGATCGCTGTGTGGTGCTGTGTGGTATCGTTAGGTGCTGTGCGGTGCAGTGGTGTGCCTGAATGCCGTGTGATGCTGTATCATGTGAGCTTGCAAAGCCAGGGACCGCCACACGTACTTCACCAAGCGCAACGTGCTCTATGAGAGGAGCCCCGTGAGTGGCACGGTGCTGTGCAGTGCAGCTGGAGCACCTCCCTGCAGCACCACCTGCAGCAGAGTGGCCACGTGGCTTGGTGCAGTTTCTGGGGCGCTGCTGCAGGTGAACCCAGTCAAACCATTCCTGCCCTCGTTCCCCATAACCACTCCCTTGCCCACCTCTTCTCTCCACAGCAGACAGAGCAGCTGGAGCACCTCGTCCCCAAGAAGAGCTCTCTGGCCCACTGCGTGCAGCAGGGCCGCCGTGGCTTCGTGCACTTGCTGAGGTGCCTGGTTTCCACATGCCCATGCCGCACCACCCCCCCCCTCTCCCATTAGACGGAGCAGCTGGAGTATCTAGTCCCGAAGAAGGGCTCGTTGAGTTACCGTCTGCAGCAGGGCGACCCTGGGTTGGTGCAGTTCGTGGGGGCGCTGCTGCAGGTCGACCCTGACAAGCCGTTCTCACCCTCTTCTCCATAACCACCCCCTTCCCCCCCCCCCCCCCCTCCCCCTCCCCCCCCTCCTCACTGCAGGAGACGGAGCAGCTGGAGTATTTGGTCCCCAAGAAGTGCTCCCTGGCCCACCGTCTGCAGCAGGGCGACCCTGGGTTTGTGCAGTTCGTTGGGGCGCTGCTGCAGGTCGACCCGGAGAAGCGGCCCAGCGCAGAGGAGGCGCTCAAGCACCCCTGGCTCTCACAGCCGTATGACCCCATCACCTAGAGCAGCCCCCTGCGAGACCCCATAACGTGAAGATACGGTAAGCCATGTGTCGTGTCGTGGGAGTTCACCTCGTGGGAGTGCTTGCTGGTGGGCGCAAACTAGCCGGGGTCCGCCCGGCGCCCACCTGCAAACTACTAGGCTGTCATGCCATGCAACTACCGTATCTGCTTTGTGGTTACCTAAGCATGTGCCTTTTTTGCCACTCTCGAGCAGTTTTTACTGACCTCAAGAGCTTGTATTTCGCTTAATAAGAATGACTTGCACTTGGCTGGAATTGTTTGTCATTGTTGGGCTGAGAAATGCCCTTAGGATCTTTTCAGAGACTAAGTCCCAGTTGAAGATTAAGACTTGAGTAGTGCAGCGGAAGTTGAGGCAGTTGAACCCTTGTACTAGTATATGAGAACAAGTGATTGATTAAAGAAACAAGCATACAGCAATATATAGAAGATAAGAAAGCAGTTGTAGAGTACAGTTACAGGAACGGTTTATCGAGTCGCACAGCGACTCGATTGCCGCTTCGGTTACCATCCGTGATGTTGTAACGGTCAGTCGCAACCTCCAGTTGCGACCTTTCGAGTCTTTTCGCATTCTTTGTCCGCCCCCTCATGTAACCTCCGTTGACTCGCGTGCTCCCCTGTAGTCTTCCTCGAGTGCAGTGTTACACTTCAGAAACGCTTAAGTCCTTTGAGATATTTCCAACACTCCCCTTCGTTTCTGGAGTGTTGACGTGTTCGGGTCCGGTGACGTTTGTTTGCCCGGTCAGGAGCATGCAGTAGTCGAATTTTGCTTTCGCCAATTTCTTCGTCAGATAATCTGCGGCCATTTCTGTCGTCGGGCAGTAACTGAGTTGAAGTCTCCCCTTCGCGATTTCATCCTTGACGAGGAAGTACCGCAGGGCGATGTGCTTAGTTCGGTTGGCGAAGCCGTCCTTGTTCGCGATTTTGATCGCAGATTGGTTGTCGCAGAGGAGTGAGAAGGCGGGCAGGGTCGCAATCTTCGCTTCCTCGAGTAACTCTCGTAGGTAGAGTCCTTCCTTGGTCGCAGTACAGAGGGCGATATATTCTGCTTCAGCCGAGGATAGTGCGATTAACTCCTGCTTGCTCGACTGCCAGGAGATAGTTCCGATAGGTTCTAGTCGGTAGATGTAGCCCGTCCTAGATCGTCGATTTTCCCTGTCTCCCGCGTGGTCGGCGTCGACGTATCCGAGTAGTCGTACGGACGGTGTTGTTGCCTTGCTGTAGGTGAGCCCGATCGTCGGCGTGGAGACGAAGTAGAGTAGCGCCGGATTGAGCTCTTCGAGATCTTCCTGTTCCGGCTGCTTCAGATGCGTCGCCAATTGACTCGCACTATAGGACAGATCGGGTCGGCAGGTTACTGCTGCGAATAGTAGGCAGCCGAGCTTCTGTTGATACTCCTGGATTTGCTTCGCGGGGAGTTTTGCGGAGGCGCTGTTGTTGTTCCCGTAGCGGTAGGGAGTTGGGACCGCAGTCGGTGTTAGACCGAATTTCTTCGCGACGGTGCCTGAGTACTTTCCAGCGTGTAGGTAGAACGCCGTGTCGTCTTCGACGATATTCAGTCCTAGGTACTGAGTAACTTCGTCGGACACCGTAAGTGTTAAGTCTTCTTTCAACTCCCCTTCGAACCAGGTGGCGATGTCGGTAGTGGAGCCGATGTAGAGCAGGTCGTCGACGTAGACGATGAGTAGGACATACTCTCTTCCCTTCTGCAGTCGGTACATCCCTTGGTCATGCGGCAGTTGTAGGAATCCGATTTTTGCGAGACGGCCGTGAAGGTGCTGCTGCCAGAGCCGCGGGGCTTGCTTGATCCCGTATAGGGATTTTGTCAGTCGGCATACTTTCGTGGGGTCGTCGATGAATCCGTGGGGTTGTTCGACGAAAATCTCAGCGTCCACAGGTGCGTATAGGAACGCATTGGCGACGTCGATTTGGCGTAGTGGTAGTGTCTTCGTGGCCGCGACGGCGAGTAGGATGCGTAATGAGGTGTGACGGGAGATTGGAGCGAAGGTTTCTGTGTAGTCAGTTCCGTATCGTTGATCGAAGCCTCGTACGACCCATCGAGCTTTGAATCGTTCGATGGAGCCGTCTGAGTTGGTCTTGATGCGGTACACCCATTTCCCCGAGAGGACGTTCTTCCCGTTGATGCTTGTTTCTCGGTCTTGCAGAGCCTTTAACTCCTTTTCCATCGCTTCTTTCCATTTTGCCTTATGTTCCCCCCCCAGAGCCTGCGACAAGGTCGAAGGCTCACGCGGAGAAGGCGGCGGCGGATGCTGGACGGAGACCCAGAGGCCTAGAATCTGCAGTCCCGTGGGTGTGTGTCGAGGGGAATTTTCATTCCCGGAATAAGCTGCTTCGTCACCGTCTTCTGGGTCAGGTGAGAAGTTGGGACCGATGCGTTCTGAAACATTTGTGTCAACTGGGTGGGGTGTAATGTAACCTTAGTCAGCGAAGTGGTAGAAGGTGTCGAGGTTGTTACTATCGAGAGGATTGTCGTCGTCGAGTGGAACAGATACGGAACAGAAGGGGAGTGGTCCGGCAGTTTCCGAGGCTCCAGGTACGTCTTCTTCTGCCGCGTCAGCTTCGGCAGCACGATCGGCGAAGGAACGAAGTCTCGAGAAGCCGTCGGTGGGGTCTTGTGTGTTGGCGATGTTGTCCAGGTAATGCTGCAGCGTCAGTCGCTCGTAGAAGATAACATCACGTGATGCCACCGTATTTTTGTCTTGTATGTCGAGAATTTTCCACGCGTGAAAATGTTTGGCGATGCCGAGGTGTAGTCCCCACCGAGCTCGTTGTGTGAAGCGTCCTGCTCGGGCTGTGTGGGGTCTGTACTGTACCATGCAGCCGAAAACTCGGAGTAATTTTGTGCTGCCCCTTTTTCTTGTCCACAACAGGTGCGGTGATGCGTTGTTGGGAAGCGATGACGAGGACAACAGGTTGTGCAGGTGAACTGCATGTGTCATCGCGTCTGGCCACAGTGTGGTGGGCAGCCTCATCCCCAGAAGCAGTTTTCGCATCGTCGCCTGCAAGGTCCGATTCATGCGTTCTGCGACCCCCTGCTGTTGGTGAGCATAGGGCAGGGACACCAAGCGTCTGATTCCTCTTTCCGCCAGATAGGTCCTGAAGCGTTGTGACTGGTATTCCAGTGCACCGTCTGACTGGAAGCTCTTGAGTTTGAGTCCCGATTCTCGTTCGGCGATGGGAAGCCATGTTGTGAAGGCTTCGAAAGCTTGATCGCGCGTCTTGAGATTGAAGTGCCAGACGTATCTGGTTGCTGCGTCGATGAACGTGATGACGTAGTTGAAGTCGGCTTCGGTGTCTTCTCGAGGCATGTTTAAAATATCGCTGTAAACTTTTTCCATCGGAGCGTATGCAGGTGCGCTTGGGTTGTGATGGGATGAGAAAGGCTGATGAGGAAGATCTGCTTCGGGGCACGTGAAGCACCGTGCTTGTGGTCGTCGAAGTTCTTGGCCGTTCGTCGTTAGTAGGGCGTTACGTTCTAACACTTCTGCCTGGATGGTTTGTAGTATCGTGCTGTTTGCAGGGTGCCCAAGGCGTTGGTGCCATATGTCGTCGGAAGCGCGATGACCGGGTGAGCGGTGGTATATGTCGGCGCTGGAGAAGAACGCGACGACTGTGGCGGGACTGCGACAGGCTTCTCGTGTGACAGGCATAAGCTGGTCTGCTTCGGTTGGCGGTCCTCGGATCGCTGGTGGTGGGACTCGGCTGGGTCCTGCTGCTGGTACTGCAGGTGATGGTTTGGTTGGGATACTTGCGGGTACTTGTCTTTCTTGTCTGATGACTGCTAATGCTCGTGCTCTTTCTGCTGCAGGTATGGTGTTGGAGTGCCAGAATCCGTTACTGTCGAAGTCGGGATCAAGATCCGGCGGGTGTGTCCATGCGGCGAACGATACGATGCCGTCGCTGTCGGCAGTGCCGCGGTCGGGGACGAAGTCCAACACGAAGACGCCGGACTTCAGGAGGGCACGGCCTATGAAGAGACCGCCCTTCCCGTGGTAAAGTCGAAACTCGTTGGAGTAAGAGTCGCACTCCAGGTGAATCCCCTTGGCCATTAGTTGGCTTACGCTTAGTAGGTTGTATCCCAGGTTGTCGACAATGAGGACTTTGTTGAGCTGAAGTATGACGTTCGTCTCCATGGATTGTAACTGAACCACGCCTTGTCTGTTTGTCTTCAGGTTTTCGTTGTTGGCGACGGTGATGATGACGTCGCGGTTGAGGCGTTTCTCCTGTTGCACGAAGCGTCCCGAAGAGCACATGTGTTGACCGCAGCAGCTGTCCAAGAACCAGGTGTTTCGCCCGGTGGGTTCGGCGTTGGCGACCGCAGCATATGTTGGATTGACTTGAAGTCCTTGTGAGCGCGGTGGTGGGAGCTCCTCTTCGTCTGGTGCGTAAGTGGGTGGTGATCCGGGTGTGCAGTTGTCGATGTGTACCATGCAGTTAATAATGTTTGGTGTCTGTTGTGCAGATGTTGAAGAGCGCCTTGGAGGACTTTCTTGAGTGGAAGCGACTTGTGGGTCTACTGGGCGATAAACGCGAGGGCGTGTGCAGTTGACCTTGGAGTGCCCGGAAGTCTGGCAGTTGTGGCAGAACGGTGGTACGAAAGTAAGTCCTCTGTTGTCGCGTTGATCTTGCTTGCCGCGTCGATTGTAGTTGTTGTCGTTCCTTCGTTGAGTGTAGAAGACTAACTGCTGCTGCTTCCTTGGTTGTCTTTCTTCGAACAGGTCCATCTCCTGTTGTTCAGCGTGAAGCTCGGCGCAGAGGTGCATCTCCGAAATCCTTCCGTGGGCGCGAAGAAGCGATCGTGTGGTTCTCCATTCTGGCCCGAGCCCCGCGAGGACAAGCGTCATGAAGCTCTCTTCAGTGATTGTTCCTCCGCACCGAAGCAGGCAGTCGCGGAGGGTCTGGCAGCGACTCATATACTGCATCGCCTTTTCTCCGGTCTTCATCTGTATTGTTGTCAATTGTTGCATGAGTCTGCTTTGTGTCACGCTGTCGTTTGCTTGATAGAGGCACTTGAGGTGATGCCATGCGAGTTCTGCGGAGTTGCCATAGCTCCTGTATGTTCTGATGCTCTGTTGTTCTTGTGGTGACAGATTTCTCAGGAGAACTGTATACGCCAACAGCGACTGATACGTGAAGATTTCTTGCTCCTTTCCAGTGCCGTTGCTTGGGAATGGCAGGGACCCGTTGAAGTATCCCAGGAGATGCGCAGCCTCCATCGGCAGCTCGAACTCGAAACTCCAGGTAAAGAA